AGGGGGCACAAATCCTGCAAGCAATAGGTCAGTGATGCAGCCATACGGAAAAAAAAGAAACATACAGATTTGAATGTGAGAGTGTGGATTGATGGAAGGCAGAGCACTGGCACCTGACTTGGAAAACTGCTGCTGCAATGTACATGCTTTATAATAGGTATTGCCCATGAAGAAGAATTATCACACTCATGTCCTGCAAATGGTAGATGACAATCTGAATCATCATGGCTTGAGTTCAGAGGAAGATCTACACTCACTTCCTATGAATAGTAGGCAACAACTTGGATCAGCATGGCTCTTACTCGAACAAGGATTGACACACTCACAACCTGTAAATAGTGGGCAACAATTTGGATCAGCATGACTCAAGCTCAAAGGAAGATAAACACTCACAGGCTGTCATAACAGTGCAAAGAAGATGGAGATCATCCTGTAATATTTTTGTTTAAATAGAAAGAACAGAATTGAAATAAAAAATCATTGATCTGTGTGACCAACTAGGTGCAAGGTCAGCACTTCCCTGTAAAGTACGATAGATGGTTAGAGTTTAAAAACGAAAAAGAAAATATACCTACACTGGGTACACATAGCAAGGACAAGTGCAGGCAGGAAGTTGTTAAATGTTGCTCAATGTTGAAAGTTGAATGTCGAGCATTAAACTTGAAGTGTTTTGAACTAAAGTCATATAAGTGTGTAAATAAACAAACATAAGCAAATGTTTGACTTATTGCCGCTATCAACTTAATGCCCAGGATGAAGCTAATGCAAGCATCTGGGAGAGTAGCAATGATGAATTACCTGTTAGGAAAGCACTTAGGTACGAAAGGACACCAACTCCAACACCAGTGTTTGAGGAGAAGCCAATAATAACTAGTATCTAGTGTGTCTGCCTAGTTCTCAGTAATATTTGTCTATTGACCGCTTTGTTAGCTGAGGTCAAAAAGTGACCTTCCATAACCCCCAATATCATTTTCTCCTTGAAGTTCTCAAAGTGTCTAAACTACCAATCGATTATCCAGACTTTGAAGCATCTGAGGTATCCCCCCCCCTCACTGGCTCTTTGCCAACAAACTAAGTGCAAGTCTCACGACCTTAGCCAAACATTCCTCCAATCAAATTCCTTGGTGCCAAATATGTAAAGGTTAATTTGACATATGTACAGTAGTGGAGTTCTACTTTGAGTAATAATATGTTTTGATGCCAACCTGAGTAGAGCGTACGGGTGAGGGTAGGGGTAGGTTAGGCTGAGACCCACACCCACACCCTGAGGGTATCCCCACTTACCACCTGTACGGGTTACTCATACCCATGCATATCCCTATCTACAGGACTATGTTCTTGTGGGATTTGGTGCTCGTGGTACCCTCAGATGCACTGACATCTAAATATTTAACACTTATGTCAATCTACTAGTACCCAACTATTCAACAACTCACAAGCCACCATGCAGCTTGACTTGTTCTCCAAAATGATAAAATGTGTTACAAAATTGACCGACAAAGCTAAGGCAGCCCTTGAAGACAGGCTCAATGGTCCCTTCTCCAAGAAAAGGAAGAACAATATGAGTGGGGCAAGTACAGCACCTGATAAGGCAAAAAAAGTGAAACCTGCCCAACCAAGTAGAATGACCAATAATAACCAAAACATAACACCTCCAAGTCCAAACATAATGCCTGTAAGTCCACCGATAGCAGCTCATCAAGCAGTAGTTCACACTGAGAAGGAGGAGGAGGAGGCAATGTATGGAAATGTGATTGACATTAGTGATGAGATTAAGGAGCTTGAGGAGCCAAGGTCATTGAGTCCAGGACAAGTAGAGAGTGCCAAAGATGAGCTAAGTATGAAAACAATTCAATATGAAAAACATTTTGTTAATAAACATATAGAATAGTTAATGAAAAAGTGGCTCTCACCAGTGTATGCATTCTTTAATCCAATGCCTCACATTGTTAAAATCCATGGATGGCATGCACATGAATTCAAGTGTAGTGTACAAGAATGTAAGGCTACCATCTGTCAGTTCCTGGATAAAAAAAATGCACAGTCCACTGGTAACATGTGGAAACACATTAAATCATATTGGGGTGAGGATGTACTGAATGCTGCTGATGATGCAAAGGATGCAAACAGTCCGGAGCAAAATTGTCCTAGGCATCCTGTGAGATAGTTCAATAACAGCATCATTTGATTGAAAAGGCAAAGGGAAAGTAATGTATACCACCAACACACCCATGCCGAGACAAAGTAAGTCTTCCAGACCATCATACTGACGCACAACTTGATACCACAGAACTGAACTTGTCTGTTGGGTATCTAAGAGTCTGCGACCATTTGAGATCCTGAAGGATAGAGGTTTTCTGTCATTAATGAAGACAGGCAGACCAAAATATTACTTACCTTCCCTAACAATATCCTGTGATGTTTGGCTTGTGTTTGCATGAACTTGACAGTGAATTGCTAAAATGTTACAGGTTAGTCAAATCTCATAATTTAAATTGATGTTTACTTAGTCATACCAGGAGTACAAGGGAAAATAACCAATGCCTGGACCTCACAGAACCACCAAGCCTTTGTGGCCATATGTGTCCAACTTGAACACATGAATACCCCTTAGTCTGCCATTAGATATCATTGAGGTTGCAAAGGTAAGGAAATACTTACTCAACCAGCTGTCATATCCCGCATTCTAGACCTACATCCGACAATGTTCCCACGCCTCATCCGGACCTCCAGACCTCCTGTCCATATCTCCAGTCCTCTATCTGTCCGGATCCCTGCACCTCTGCACATCCACCTCCGCATATCCACACCCGGATCCCTGTATCTCTGTACATCGGACCTCCATACCTCCACAGCTAGCCTGCATCATTCATCCTTTGTCTCATCGCCCTAAGCACGTTCTGTCCGATTCCCGGATCTGATGTCCGGACACCTGATCTGCTATCCACCTCTCAGGATCTTTGGATCCAACATATACTTCATATCCAAACCCAAACCTTAAATCAGCACCCATCCCCTTATGGTAATCACCTGTCTCCGGTCTTCGGTTATCTCTGTTTTTGTTTTGCTTATTGATCCTTGTACAAGTTTCATCTCCGAGTTCATTTCCTATGATCTGTTTCACTTACTAATACATTTCCACATGCTCATACATAGCCTTACCCCTCTGTTTACTGATCTGCACAGACTTACCTCCAGTATAAACTCCTGTAGATACTCCTGTATTTCCTTAGTCTGAATATCATATTAGTCCTCGCACTAGCCTTCACACTAAGTCCTCATAACTAGTTTCTTCCTTGTTAACATCCACCTTAGACCTAGGGAGGAATTCCCTAGGCCAGAGCTCTGCTCCTTTGCTCCTCCACTCCTCCAATCCTCTGATCCTCTGCTCATCCGCTCCTCTGATCCTCCACTCATCAGATCCTGAACTCCTCTGAAGTTTCTGGGAGTTCCTCCAGAACTTTCCCATGGTCCTCCGGACCTATTCTGCTTTGGACTTTGTCCTTGCAGCCTTTCCTCTGTTTGCTTCTACTTAGGACTTGTCCTAAGTAGCCATTACATGTATCTATATCAGGACGAAACCTCATTGTAATTTCTGGAAGTTCCTTCAGAACTTTCCTGCACTCATCCAGAAGTTTCTCGCACTCATCCGGAAAGTCCTTCTGAACTTTCCCGTGCTTCGGATGTCCTTGGACTTTCTCTGAACGTCATTCTGAAATTAAGGGCACATACTCGGGTAAGGGGCGCAGCGCACGAGCTGAAGCCAAGCCCCTCAGAATCAGTCCTACCCTTTGTGCACAGTCTTAACACCAGCACAGACAATGACACCATGTGACTAGTCCCATAGTGGTCAAGGACTTGCAGCGGTTTTTGCAAAGATGCTAGAGAAGTTTGGAATATCAGATAAGGCAAGAAATTGAACAAATGAAACCCTTACAAGCTGACATTGCAATGAATAGCTGTTGAGCATAACATGTGACAATGTGTCCAATAATAATGTGATGATTGATGACCTGGAGTCTCTGGTGCCAACATTTGGAGGTTGTCATATCCCATGTTCCGGACCCGGACCAATCACGCAATCATCTCCGGACTTAATCGCTTCTTGGACCCGAACCAGGTGGCACCCCGACAAGGACCCCGGAACCCAACCACCAACATCACGCCCGACAGCACCAAGGACGCCGAACGGCGGCCCCAACGCTGCAACCAACGCAGGATCCTCATCAATCCAAAACCAAGAACCAAGGTATACCCAACCAAAAACAGCAAACATGGCCCCAACCAGCACAACGAACCCTCCAACCGCCTCCCAACCAACACGCATGAACAACCGTAAAACAACCGCAAGCAAACCATTACTAACTATCAGTAAATTTAACGAAGAACATGCCCTAGGGACGGGTATAAGAACCGACGTCAACTCAACAAATTCGGCAAGGAAAATCCTATCAACTCATGGCTTAGTACTACCAACAGCGGGCAACATGCTTCAGCCAATAGCAACGGCCCTGTTTGAGTTCAGCATCTCAGCCAACCTAGGAGCAACCCACATCGACATCCTTTGAGCAATGGCCTTTGTACTGCTGGAAGTCGACCGCGAAATTGACGTCTCAAGTATCGTAAAGAAAGTTCAAGCCTTGATGGGAGGACCAGTGGCCATGCTGGACGAGAAGATAGAAGAGCTAGAGAAAGTCGTAGAGAAGCACAAAACAACGCTAGAATATACAGCGTCAGAGGTAAGCAAACAGTTAAACTCTGTAGTACTCAAGGTATCCCATGCAGCCAAGAACACTGTGACACCGCAACACGTCCTGACCATGAATGAAGGTACAGCCGGAAAGAAAGACCAGAGATCATATGTGACAGCAACCAAGGAAAGAATCCCGGCACCCCTGATCAAGGCCTTAGCTCGCAATGAAGCCCAAGGATGCCAAATACTCTTAGAAAGGCGCTCACCAAACTTCACCAACACACTCATCAATCTCACGGAAATCTAGCTGGTCGCAAAAGCAAACCTAGCAGTGGAAGCCATGGAAAAAGAAGAAACTGACATACCACAGAACATCAAGTTCATCTCAGCCAGACGCCTCCCCCATGGAGGCGTATTATATGAACTAGACTCAGCAGAATCAGCTTCCTGGCTCAACAACCCACCAAACCGCAGCAAATTCCTCGAAGGTTTCGGAATTGAAGTCGTACTCAGAGACAGAGCGTACCATGTCATAGTGGAGAACGTGCCGATAAACTTCGTGCCAGAACAACCAGCAGCATTAACTGACATCGAACAGAAAGCAGGAATGAAACCCAAGACAATATCAAAGGCAAGATACATCAAGCCGATCAACAGACACAACCCGGACCAGCGAACGGCCCACGCCATCCTCACCTTCAACACCAAGGAGAGTGCCAACCAAGCAATCAGATTTGGCCTCTCGGTCGCAGGTAAGAAAGTATACGCCAGGAAACTGATTACGGAACCCTCCAGATGCCTTAAATGCCACTCCTTCGACGGTTCACACATGGCCAAGGACTGCCCACAGGAGGAAGACACCTGCGGGACATGCGGTGGATCACACAGGACCTCCACCTGCACAATAAAGGACCAAAGTAACTTCTACTGCGTGAACTGCAACGTCCAGGGCCACGCCACCTGGAGTAGAGACTGCCCAACATTCAACGCGAAGTGGAACACTCACAAGAACCGAAATGCAGAATCTACATACCGCTACTACCTAACTGATGACCCCCTTACCTGGGAGAAGGTATCGAATTCAGACGCCGAATGGAACGATCAAGAAGAAGCGCAAACAAGACCACCCCAACCCCAGCCCCCCCAACCGCAACCAACCCAAAGGTACCCGCCGCCAAGAGACAGGTCCGATGAGTGGCGCACAGCTACAAGACAACAGAGACCGCAAAGGACCCCCGCCTACAACCAGAACCCCAACCAAGTCCCGCTAGGAGGACAATTGAGAATAACAGACATATGGGCCTCACAACCGCGGCACCAACCGGCTCCAACCCAGCAACGCCCTCCGAATCCAAGCAATGACCCAACACCCAGCGACACCAGCACCCAGTCAGCGACATCTCGGCGAACGCCCCCACCAATGGGAGAGTATAACCCAGGCAGATGGAGTGACGACCAAGACTTTGAATAAATGCCTGTACAACCCAACGACCAACCGCCGGCAAGGGACAACCTCAGGATATGGTAACAAAATATTAGAAAATCACTCCCCGCCTGGGAACATATGTTAAAAAACCTGGACCCTAACGTGTATGATATCGCCTGCATACAAGAACCCTATTTAAACCCGGTAAAGCTCGCTAACGCCTCCAACCTTAGACAATACTGGGATGTATTATACCCATCAGACCACCATTCCAGCCCCAACAGAATGCAAGTCATCATGTTAGTCAACAAGAAGCTCTTGAAGAATAACTGGCACATCATAACGATCAAATCACCAAATGTAATGGCAGTTGAGCTAGTGGGCGACTTTGGAAAGGTGCGCATGTACAATATTTATAACACCTGTGACAACGACAACACCCTGCACTTCCTCGAAAGACACATGGCCACTGAGCACAACACCAGACAGGCCCGAGTGCAATGCATCGCTCAAGGCGAACAGGAGGAAAAACCGGAGTACATAATGTGGATGGGCGACTTCAACCGCCACCATCCTATGTGGGAACCACGACATAATACCCACTTATTCACCGTGGTGAACCTCACCGCCGCAGCTGTACTAATAAACTTATTATCTCTGTATAACCTTGTACAGGTACTGCCACCGGGAACAGCCACCTTAGAAGCATCAAACACAAGAAATCTCACACATCCAGACAACACCTTTTGTTCAATGCAAATGGAACAGATGGTCACTCAATGCAATGTCAAACTGCAACTCCGCCCGGTCATAACAGACCACTTCCCGATCATAACCGTCCTAGATCTAGAACCCGAACGCGCCATATCAACGCCTAAGCACAACTACTGGGAGACCGACTGGAAGAAATTTAGAGAACACCTATCGGACAAGCTAAGTGCCATCCCCCCTCCAGCAGAACTCACGACCCGCACACTGTTTGAACAGGCTCTGGCAGCACTAACAAGTAGGATAACGGAGACAGTGGAAGCCAAGATCCCAAAAACCAACCCCTCCCCATATGCCAAATGTTGGTGGTCAAAGGAACTAGACGCAGAATGAAGAACGGTCCACAGGCTGGCAAGAGAGTCGAGGAAACTCCAAGCAAGATGAAATGACCCTATCCATGAGGAGTACAGATCAGCACACAATAGGTTCTCAGAGAGTATCAAACGAGCAAAGGCAGACCACTGGAACGAATGGATGGAGAAACTGACACCGGCAGGAATTTGGACCTTCCACAAATACACCGCAAGCAATCCAGCCGACCAAGTCCACACAAGAATAAAGACATTACAGGACCCAAGAGCTGATGGCCAAATCGGAGCAACTCAAGACAACGCTCATAAGATCAAGCTACTCTATAATGTCTTTTTCAGACCACCAGTGGAAAATGACTATGTTGACCCAGAATACACCTATGACCCACCGATATGCGACTTCGAGCCCATCATGGACCAGCAAGTGTATCGTGCAATAGCCAAACTAGCGCCTCACAAAGCCCCGGGCCTGAACAGCATACACAATATAGTCTTCACCCGGTGCACAGATCTGTTAGTCCCATACATGTCGCCCATCTTCCGCGCTACATTCAAGCTCGGAATCTATCCCAACGAGTGGAAATGCTCATCGACCATCGTCTTAAGGAAGCCAGGGAGACCGGATTACAGTGTTCCGAAAGCTTACAGACCGATCACGCTACTAGACACCATGGCTAAGATTTTATCCTCTTGCGTAGCAGATGACCTGACGTACATTGCAGAACAACACGGCCTACTCCCAGCAACACACTTCGGTGGAAGACCAGGCAGATCAATGGTAGATTCACTCCACCTACTAATGAAATTCATCACAGATGCCTGGGCATCGAAGGAGGACCACGTCTCACTACTATTCCTCGACGTGAAAGCCGCTTTCCCAAGCATAGTCACCAACAAGCTCCTGCACATTATGCGGAAGAAAGGCATACCGGAGCAGTACGTCGAGTGGTACAGAAGGAGACTAGCAGATAGAACCACCTACCTCTTCTTCGACGACCACCAGTCCAAACTCTTCAACGTGTCAGATGGCCTTGACCAAGGCTGCCCACTGTCACTGATAGCCTTCATATTCTACAATTCAGATGTACTAGAAGTTGCTGACCCTAACCCACGCAAAGGAGAGTTAAGCTTAGGCTTCCTCAATGATGTTGCGCTGGCAGCCAGAGCCACATCATACGCAGAATCAAATGCCAAACTCAAGACTATGATGGAGAAATGAGGGGGTGCACTGGAGTGGAGCGAGCAACATCACACTGAGTTCGAGCTTGAGAAAACTGCGCTAATATGCTTATCAAGGAAACACATACCAAGTGAGGAGAACCCCCGCAAAACAGTACCAGAACCACGACCCGCCATCACTATCCGCAACCACACCATTCAACCATCCAAGTCCCACAAGTTCCTGGGAATGGTAGTAGACGAAAATCTCAACTTCAAAGAACACGCTGTAGAGACTAACATCTCTGTGGCCTCGTAGAGGTCTAATTTCCGATGTGTGTCGAGTGCTAATCATTATCCGAATCATTCCCTATCATATCCGACTCAATACACACCAAACCCGAAAACATCGGACATCGGACATCGGACATCGCATCGGACTATTGGACTTCGCTTGTACTCGTCCTACCTATGTCCTGCCTCATTGCGCTAGCCCCCACTAGGTGCATAGTTACTTGTTTTCCCATCGCTAACATTGTAGACCACATTATTACATGTCCGCAGCACCTCATGTCTTATTACATAGGACATCGGATCCGAAAATATTGCGCTACTACTTTCGCCTATATGGTTCTGGACTTCTACGTATCTACATAAATATTGGACTCCCCATAGCATTATTCATTATCCAAGTAGAGGGGAGCAGTTCCCCGACGCTTAGTGGTCAAATCCGATATTTCGTAGTTCTTAGTTGATATTGCGAATATCATCGCTCTTTCATTATCCGTATCAATCATCGTTGTCATCACGCATACCGCTCGCTTTTCCGACGCTCGCATAACGCGTCACTATTAGTTTCCGCATACCCGACCTGAATCCAACTACCCGACCCAACAAACCCGACGCTTTTGCATCGGACATCGTAAATATACCTTCGGACATTGTTTCCCGCGCTCGGACTATTGATCTCACATTACTCACTTACCCCCAAGACTATTCCCAGACTGCAGACCCCTGGGTCGAACGCACTTGTCAGGCAAGTATAACAGACTAGGCAGTGCAAAGACCACAACACAAATATATCAGTTTGGAGCAATCTTCATTTGTTCCTCTCTGTATTGTAGTTTCTACAATGCAGCCTACGCCCTTGCAAAAGGGACCAAGTACGCGCTGGCCTGTACGAGAATAATTCGCCCAACGAAAGGGATGCACGGAAGGCTGATGAAGCGACTGTTCGAGGGGGTAATAGTCCCAAAGATGCTGTACACAGCAGACGTGTGGTGCTCAGGCCTCGTGGCCAAGGGGAGAGGAAAACAAAGGGGAGGCAAAGGAGCGCGAGGATTCACATTGCAAATGTCAAGGGTCCAGCGAATGGCCACTCTCCTAATAACTGGTGGACTAAGATCATCTTCTAATGATATGCTGGATGCACACACTAACGTCCTTCCATTCCAACAGCTACTCCGGAAAGTCTGTCTCAGAGCAACACTCAGAATGGCCATGCTCCCGCAAATCCACCCGCTAGCTAAAGGCATTCGTGCAGCATACTCCTATGGCGCAAAGAGAGAGTTTAAGGGGAGAAAACAACACCCGTCTCCGCTCCACAAGCTGATGTATGAATTCCAGATAAACCCTGACAAGATGGAGAAAATATGGCCAGTCAGACACTATCCAAAGTGGGCCCCAGACGTAGAGTCCCGCATCGCGGACGAGACAGAGGGAGCAATAGAAGAGGACATGGGAGCCAACGAAGACATCCGGGCGTACTCGGACGGATCCCTAATTGACGGCGGAGTAGGAGCAGCAGCAGTGATCATGAGAGGCAAGGAGGAGGTACGAAGCTTGAGATTCTACCTGGGCAGGGACACAGAACACACAGTGTACGAGGGCGAGCTTGTAGGAATGATCTTAGCGGTCCAACTGCTCAAAGAGGAGGGAGGAGGAAGAGGGGGGACCATGTCGTTGGGAGTAGACAACCAGGCCACCATCCGCGCCACGGCAGCCTTCCATTCCCAACCGGGACATCATCTAATGGACATGTTCCATGACAACCTACGCGAACTCATCCCGGACAATGACGAAAGGAAACTCATCGTCAAGTGGACACCAGGCCACAAGGGTATCCAGGGCAACGAAGCAGCGGACGTGCAGGCGAAGGAAGCAGCCAGAGGAAACACGTCAGAAAGTCACACACTCCCAGAATCGTTGGTGATGAACCGGGGGGAGATCATGGAACTGCCACTAAGCAAGTCAGCAGTCAAGCAAGTACTCTACCGCAAAATCAAGAATGAGGCCGTGAAGATCACACAGAACTCGCCGAGATTCGCTACACTCCACACCATAGACTACTCCGCTCCCTCCAACAAGTTTGCCAAGAGCGTCGCGATGCTGCCAAGGAAGCACAGCTCCATCCTGTTTCAACTCCATACGGGTCACATCGCGCTCAACAAGCACCTGCACCGCATTTCAAAAACCCCGTCAGCCAAATGCGAAAAATGCAACGCGCACGAGGAAACCGTTCACCACTTCCTACTCACTTGCCCATCATTCATCAGACAGCGCAACGCTCTGAGACTCGAAGTCGGCCAGCGCAATTGCAATGTCAAGTACCTTGTTAAGACCGTGCACAAAGGGTAGGACTGATTCCGAGGGGCTTGGCTTCAGCTCGTGCGCTGCGCCCCTTACCCGAGTATGTGCCCTTAATTTCAGAATGATGTCCGAAGAAAGTCCAAGGATGTCCGAAGGACGTCCGATGTGCGGGAAAGTTCAGAAGGACTTTCCGGACGAGTGCAAGTAACTTCTGGATGAGTGTGGGAAAGTTCCGGAGGAACTTCCGGAAATTACGATGAGGTTTCGTCCTGATACGGATACGTGTAATGGCTACTTAGGACACGTCCTAAGTAGAAGCAAACAGAGGAAAGGCTGCAAGGACAAAGTCCGAAGCAGAATAGGTCCGGAGGACTGCGGGAAAGTTTCGGACGAGCGTCCGGAAACTTCGGAGGATCGGATGAGCGGATAAGCAGAGCTCTGGCCTAGGGAATTTCTCCCTAGGCCCGAGATGGATTTTGACTAAGTTGATAGACTAGAACTGATGTGAGGACTTAGAGTGAGATCTAGTGCAAGGACTAATATGATATTCAGACTGAGGAACTACAGGACATATACAAGAGTTTATATACTAAGGAAATAACGGAAAGATCAGTAAGCAAGCGTCCGAGGCTATGTATGAAGCATAAGCAAAGTTATCAAGCGCGAGTCGGAAATGAAGCATAGGTTAACGGATCAGTAAGCGTACCGGTAGTAAGTATAACCGAGATACCGAGGACAAGGAATACCGAATAGAGGAATAGGCTGTGTTAACGTTATAGGCACAGGAAATGAATTAGGAAGCTTATCATATATCGAATTGGACCGGATCGGACCGGACCAGATGTCCGGACAAGAAGCGTGGATATACGGGATATGATATTAGGGCAATAGGACAAAGGATGAATGATGCAGGCTAGCTGCGGAGGTATGGAGGTCCGATGTACGGAGGTAAAGGGATCTGGACATGGATGCGCGGATGTGGATGTGCAGAGGTGCAGGGATCCGGATGGGTAGAGGACTGGAGACATGGATAGGGCGTCCGAAGGTCCGGATGAGGCGTGGGAACATTATCGGATGTAGGTCCGGAATACAGGATATGACATACCTACTCAACGAGTACAAAGGAATGAGGGCGACACTGAAATACATAGCACGCACGAAACGCTTCGAATGCACCTTTGGAGACATGACTCCCCCGGAGGAAAAGGAAGAGCAGACAAAAAAGTAGTTGAGGAGAGAAGAAGAACCCCACTAAAGTCACCACATATCACCCATCCCCATTGCCTCCAGAAGGCTCCAACGTTCTCGCTCACGCCGGAACCATTGTCAAAGATACGAAACCAAGACTCAATTAGACTTCATATGATAGCAGTACATACATGTAGGTAATGTCCAACATAGGGCTCCACCCCAACGGACACTAAACAAGGATTTAAATAAATAAATAAAATCTCCGGACTTCCGGATCTGGTCAGCTCCTATCTTCCATGCCTTTTCCCTTTGGTATTTCCCTTATCAGTTAGTATGCTTTATTTTCTGTCCCTTATTCATTTCCGTCTTCATTTTACTAAGTTCCAATAGACTAGTGATAGTCGTCCCACATGCTCTGTCCATAGCCTCACATAGCCTCACACTGCACTGACTGTTTCTCCATTATGTCCTCAGTAGTATATAAACCCTGTACAGTCTCTGTAGTTCCTTAGTTCAAATATTATCTCATGTTCATTGTTTGTCAGCGCAATCAACATGAGCCCTTCTGTATCACCTCGTAGAGGCTATTTTGCAGTGTCCCTCAGCATCCTATTGCTTTACTATATAAAGTGCAGCTTTCCCACGAGCCACGCTTAGCGGCCGCTACTTTCCTGCAACGGCCGCAGTGTTCCCGCGCGTGCACAGCTGCGCTTAGCCGCACTTTTCTTGCGCTTCATCGGCCAATGTTCCGCATCCATCCATAGTCCAAAACCAACCCAATGGTACGTTATTCCATGATTATATTTACATATCAGACCATTTCCGCATCGCACCACCTTTATTTCGTCATAGACCCTTATTTACATATAGCTTTACATACCCTACTCGGTAGCGCGTTGGCTCGGTTCCGCATGACAGCGCTTAGTGCAATACTTAAACACTAGCAGTACATATCATTCAAGAGCTTGTTTTCTGGACGTTCCAGTAGCTATTGGCAATCCATATCCGTTTACCGCTTGCACCATGTCTGTTATCGTCCACTTTACATCTATTTCTATTGTCTATCATCTCTATCATCATCCGAACCACTCGTGCATCGGCTGCTTCACAGCCGCGTTCTTCCCACGCATTCAGCTTTCGGCCGCCACTCCGTTCCCGCGCGCGCTGTAGAAACTACAATACAGAGAGGAACAAATGAAGATTGCTCCAAACTGATATATTTGTGTTGTGGTCTTTGCACTGCCTAGTCTGTTATACTTGCCTGACAAGTGCGTTCGACCCAGGGGTCTGCAGTCTGGGAATAGTCTTGGGGGTAAGTGAGTAATGTGAGATCAATAGTCCGAGCGCGGGAAACAATGTCCGAAGGTATATTTACGATGTCCGATGCAAAAGCGTCGGGTTTGTTGGGTCGGGTAGTTGGATTCAGGTCGGGTATGCGGAAACTAATAGTGACGCGTTATGCGAGCGTCGGAAAAGCGAGCGGTATGCGTGATGACAACGATGATTGATACGGATAATGAAAGAGCGATGATATTCGCAATATCAACTAAGAACTACGAAATATCGGATTTGACCACTAAGCGTCGGGGAACTGCTCCCCTCTACTTGGATAATGAATAATGCTATGGGGAGTCCAATATTTATGTAGATACGTAGAAGTCCAGAACCATATAGGCGAAAGTAGTAGCGCAATATTTTCGGATCCGATGTCCTATGTAATAAGACATGAGGTGCTGCGGACATGTAATAATGTGGTCTACAATGTTAGCGATGGGAAAACAAGTAACTATGCACCTAGTGGGGGCTAGCGCAATGAGGCAGGACATAGGTAGGACGAGTACAAGCGAAGTCCAATAGTCCGATGCGATGTCCGATGTCCGATGTCCGATGTTTTCGGGTTTGGTGTGTATTGAGTCGGATATGATAGGGAATGATTCGGATAATGATTAGCACTCGACACACATCGGAAATTAGACCTCTACGAGGCCACAGAGATGTCAGTCTCTACAGCGCACCCGCCGCTAAGCGGCATCTTCTGTGCTCATTTCTAGACCTTTGCTGCACTAGCTTCCCCTTTAGGGTTGAACGCACTTGTTCTGCAAGTATAGCAGACTAGGTGTTGGATGACCTACAACATAAAGATATCGGTTTGGAGCCTATAGCACCACACTGAGTTGTAAACCTACACCAGGCCTGTACGTACCATTATCTAGTTATTCTGACTCTGCACTGAATCTCACACATCGGCAGTCAAACCTCCCCATCTTGAACACCACAATAGAGACTCCACAAGGATCAGCTCCCTCCCCGACCAAATCAACACTGTCCTCGGCCTCTGGTACTCTACCCCTCGAAGTCAAAACATTTCCTTCTTCCCTGAGTTCCCCAGCTCAGACAAGTTCAAGCGATGAATTATGGGCACAAGTCGAAGATCTGTCTGAATATATGGATGGCATCAGTTTGAGTTGAGACAAGTAGAGGAGGGCACATAGAATACAATACTACGTTTTGAATACTGTTTGTACCTCTGAAGGATCTATGGTGTAACTGTCAATGCATTACGAAAATTCTATGCTTGCAAGCTGTGTTCTATCGTAAATGTCATCTATGCATTATGAAAAGATAATTTGATGTTGCATCTCTCATCTCACATACTAGCTGATGATAAAGATCAAAATAACGCTAAGTGATACTCATTTGATTCATATCATGCTGTATCCAAATACTTGCTTTGAGTTTCTGTCCTGAAGCATGGCTGAATTTCGTTTCAATAACACATTTTAAATACTCGCAACTTTCATGTGACGAGAAACTTGTTCTGTTCATCTCTCTTCAACAAACACAACCACCATACATCATGCATCCCAAGTATGAAACTGCAGAGGAGTGTCATGAGGCTTGACTAAAATCAAAGGAGAGCTATGCACAGTAAATTGCTCTCAATTCTTCTTGCCTCACCAGCCTAATACAAATACACTTCTAGTCACAGAGTTCAAGAACAAGTCAAGTCTCACACACGATGGCAACGCCGTAGAGGGGCAGCTGTGGTGAGTTCTCACTCGACATTCATGTGCATGTCACCAGTAATGCCTGCACTTAGGATACTCAAAGTGTTACAAGTAACATCGGTCACGTGGCCCCCCTATCATTTTCCCTTCATCCTCGTCCTCACCATCTACCAGCTCATACTCCTCTACCGGATATCTGTTGATCGGATCCTTGGGACCGTTCCCATCCCTCGTCTCCATCCCATCATCCGCCTTATCTCTGATAACGCACCAACGTGCGCATGTGCCTTGGCACCTTGACTCGTCTAGACTCATGCCACCAATGTGGCTTTCCCTTCTCATCTCCCTTGACTCGCACCTGCTGTGCATTGTAACCCTACTGTTGGCCCAGTCCAATGTTCGTTGGTCTCATTCTGCATTCGACCTCTCATCACTAATTAGGCTGTGTTGCCAATGTACCTATACCCTTTCCATTTCCCCTTTACCCTTACCTACAGTATGGTAACCCAGCCCTCAACCCTCTCCACTTAGTATAAGTAGTTGGTCATATTGTATTAGATTCCCTAACTTGAATCTACTCAATTACTCGAAACTACTTCCTTCAAGAGCCTCTCAGCTCTTGTCTTTAGTACAACTTTCTTAGGTGCTCGTTGCATCTAAGTCTACCTCAATCGACTGTCCTCCCTTTGACTTCAGTGACTTCACAGACAGCCGTCTTAGAAGTCACGTGACACACGCGTCTGTGATATCTGCCGACTCGACGTCGCCAGTCTCACTCGCTATACGGGACCCTTCCGGTTACATCACAAACATTAGCGGACGACGCCCCTCTTAGGGCTCCGCATAACAGATCTATTTGAGTGCATAACACAAAGCCTTCTTCAGTGTCTCAATAACTTATGGTTAAGTTTAGGCTACCGCAGCGGTACTCTCCAACATAAATTCTTGGAAGCATATGGGATGTCAATCGTGACCAAGGTAGACTGAGAGGGTTGGGGTTCAGTCAAGCCGGGATGCGAGGCAGGTCTCACAGAGGCAAAGCATGTGCTTCAACAAGCACACGACTTGCACACTGAGGCCCGTGATATTGAGGGGCCTCTCACAGATCAATTGCGGGAGGGAATCACATCTATTGTAGATGTGGTAGATTTGCATGTTTGTGTATGGGAGGAGTTGTTGTCGATGATGGAATTAGGAGTTGATGCGTACTTTGATGCCCTTCACTATGGTTCACTGATCTGGAAAAGAACCGCATAATGCATGTTCAGTAGACAATAGCATTATTTTCACACCCAAAGAACATCAATAAAGAAAATTTATAGCATGAGCGACCAATAATCAGTCAAAGACATAGATACAAGGAGGATACAGTATGGTAGATTGATGGATCAACGTTGTTTAAATTAAAAGTAGCTACCTTCAAAGTTTTGTGGGTCTTGGCATTATTCAAGTTGAAGGTACCTATCATGTAAGTTTTTGTCAGTGACTCGGTGCTGTTCAAATGAAAAGTAGCTACCTTCTAAGTTTTTGTGAGTGACTTGGTGGCGTGGAAGTGGAAAGTACATACCTTCCAAGTTTTTGAGTGATTTGGTGTCCTTCAAGTTGAAAGTACATACCTTACAAGTTTTTGTGAGTGATTCGGTGTTGTTCAAGTTGAAAGTGTGTACCTTCCATTGTGAGTGACTCGGTGAAGGTAACAACAAGGGAACCGGCCTTGGAATGCGCAGCAGAAAGCCTAAGTTGGATGGACTTAGATATAGGATGGCGCACAGGAAGCAGAAGTTAGTGCATACCTTCCATTGTGAGTGACTCGGTGTCGCTCGAGTTGAAGGTAACAACAAGGGAATCGGCCTTGGAATGCACAGCAGAAAAGCCTAAGTTAGTTTGGATGGACTTGGACATAGAATGGTACGAAGCACATTGATTCAGAAGTTAGTTTCCACGGTTCAGCATGTACCGCCGGCACGGAACCAAACTCACAGTTCATTTCATTATGTAAAGTGTTTGGCTGAAATACTGAAGTACTTGCAAGTAAGTGAAGCACATGTGAACCTCATGTCAACGACTATATCTTGCTTATAGTTCATGGTTAGTTGGTTTGGACATCCCTCATCTACCCATAGCATGGAGTTAGTGGAGTTTGGTGATTGGTTTCACTGCCAGGATTGTGCGGATGTCTTTCGACTAACGAGCGCTAGACACACGCCACTTGACTATAACTTGGTCCATGTGAGATTCTACACTACACTGACATTTGAGGTGCTATTGCTAACTGTGGCCCTAGTTCTGCATCAGTTATGATCATCTCTGCTCAAATACACCCATTATTCTTTCAATGAGGTTTTGCTGGCCACGGTCTGACATGTGAGTCAATGTAGTCTAGAAATTCTTCTCATCCGCTGATGTAAAGGATTTAGCGTACAGCAGTCCCTCATTGTTGCATTGGTATGTACCTCATTTCATTAAAACTTAAATGATTATATCTTTTGGTATGGTTACTTCTTAGTGCATGTCCTTGATACTATTCACCCTGCATGACTGGTGTATCACCAACAGTACATCACACACAGTTACATGCTTCTCAACCAACTTGAGTGCCAGCCGTCTGGACGTCACCTTCTCAGGGGGAGTTGACATGCACGTGATTCAGATACCTTCAATGCCTCAGGACAACGGTTAATATTTTTATTTTATTTTCATCATAAAATTAATGTGATCCAGAGTGTTGGCGTAATTTTTTTCATCACTCAGCCATGGGTTTTCCAGTGCAGCCAGTGCAATATCTCAATACTATGGACAACTTGAACTTTGTATTCCCTGATCCACCTGGTCATCTGTCCGACTTAGATGGCAGTAACCAGAGTTGTCCACCAAGTAAGTAGATTGATTTGCATATGATTTTAATACTCACTCATATTAGACTTGTACAAGACTCCAGGACGTGGACACCAAGTGCCATCATACCCTCAGTTCTACCCAACAGATCACTCAGCCAACATGATCCCACCAGCTATGCACGGTTTACAGCTTGACCCAAATCTCGCCTACTCGCAAAATCTATTTAATAACATTGATCCCTATATGTTCGCTTCCTTGTCAGACCCGGCCTTTTACCCCCCACTGCCCTCCCTATGTCACCTCCTAGAACAACGTGACACTGAAGATACTTCTGCGTTCCAAAACTCGGTAGTCCAACATGACACCCCCCAGGGCATGCCCAGTCTCCCCAGTGTGCGCAACAAGTCCACAAGTGATGATTCACCGTCCAACAGTGAGGACAGAACCCACCATTCATCCACTCACCAAAATCTTCCAGCCACACATGACACCCCCCCAGATGTGCCTCCTGTCTCAAGTAATGAATTGACATCCAACACCGACAATCGTCATGAGACGACCCAGGACACTGGCACCATTGTGCAAGGATGCGCCAGCAAAATGGTTCCTGAAGCCAATAATTTGTCATGGGCTGTGAGGAACCCTAGCAGACCAGTGCTGGTTCCTCGAGCACCTCTCAACGCGATGCAGAAGGGACGTGCTAATGCGCAGAGAGCATTGCATAAGATTTTGGCTCAGCAACGCAAGGAGGCGGAAGATGCCCTGCACATGGCCATTCAAAAAGCTCTCTCTGAGCATGAGGAAAAGACTAACCATCTCACTATTGAACATGGTATCACTGTGGAGAAGGTGAAGAAGCTTATGGGAGGCGAAAGGCACTACAAAGGCAATTGAAATGCGCAACTCGCTAATGCTCTGGTACACGCAAAAGCAAAAGCTCAGGAAGTAAATGCAGGTGAGTCATTTAGATTTTCAGGTGTCGTTATGTATTCTGATTGAAGCAACAGATTGACTGTGTGGTGCCAAGTACTCACTTAATGAAATCCGAGAGATGGTCAAGGACGATTAAGATATGCAAAACTTGAACCATGTGGATCAGTGAGAATTCATTCACAAGCTCAATGAGCATCGTGCACTCCAGCATATGAGTATTCGTGCAACTAACACTGCAGCAGCACGTGATGTTCAGTCTACTTTGGACACCATTTTCAAGATGGTAGGTCTTATATCGCGTGACAATGGACATCTAACTAACGAATGTATAGCTTGATAGTCTTGCTGTCCGAACAGGAATCTACACATGTCTCTTCGCCTCACGTGGACATGTGTACGACACTGCACAGGCAACATGGTCTGGAACTGACAATGTCATGGACTTCTGGGAGGATGTTGTCCAAATGGAGGCCGACAAAATCACATGAAAATTAGAACAATGGGCATGCATGATTGGTGTTACAATAACATGCCACCTTCACCCTATGCTCCCTCTTCCCGACTTACCGACACGGCGGAGCACCGCCAGAGCCTAACTGGATGCCACTGGATACCTAGAGCAGCCTAGAGTTGCTATGATGTCACCCCTGGCCTAGAAGGGCCTCCCGATCTCATCATGATCCACCTCATGAAGAACTAGACCGACGCATGCCGCCTCATGCGTTGATGGACTCAGAGGCCGGAGCGCCTCATGTACTTATCTTGACATAGAAGAGGCGCCTCAATGCATCTTATCAGACAAGCATGGCTTGCCTCATGGATCTTATCTCTGACTAGAATAGATCCACAGATACAGACTCCTCCCGAACTATGTAGCTTAGACCTATATAACAGTAGACACATATCATTGTATTCCCTACTTTGATATACTTGGTTTTCCCTTGAACATCCTTTCAGAGTGACCTCCAGTCCCTCTGTCTTGACCACACTTCTAAGGCAAGCCGACGCTACCTTAGCCGTACATCCGTTAGCCCTATAGCTTGACGAGCCACCGCGCTTACCAAGCTCATCGGAGGATACCTTGGCCTTCGACCAAGCTTAGAACCCATCCTTCTGTCGCCAGACGATTGGCTATTCAGCCAGAGAAGGCTTGACCTATCCAAGTCATAACAATTGGTCGAAGTGAGTCTTGTCTCACATCTATATATATTTACTGACTTTTACATGCCAGGCATCAACGAACGCAAGACCATGCAAAACATGCAATGTGTTTGCACTCGACTCCTCAACTCAGGTCTAAGTAAGTAATTTTTAAAAAATATCACACTGATGCCATTACTGACTGGTGTATTTTAAGGGACTATAGTGAAGCGACGGTGAAGGTACAACAATTCAGAGAGTGAGTCTGAACAATGTTGGGTCTTGCAGAACCTAGCTGCTATTCGACCCTAAAGGGTTTCTGGACCAGGCTCAAGGCTCAGAGGAGAGGAAATATCATGAAAACTTGCTGAGTACTCTGACTCCTACTCATAACTGGTGAAAAGATAACTTGCTTATGTAAGCTACAAAAGTGCCAACATAAGGTAAGGTAAAAACAGTCTCTACAAGCCCAGCCAGAAATGAATCCCTACAACGGGACATCCATATCAACTACACCAACTTTGATACTGCCATCAAGGAGAAGCTTGGCATCGATCCAAGGGGTTGGCCTGAGGACATGGCATTTCAATCCCCCACCAGTATTAATGATCTCAATGCCCTCCTGAAGCTCCGGAATTCATTGAAGGACGGCTCCTGCCGTTGGTTCCGCATGTCACCATGTCAACGAGAGGAGTACAACATGCAGCTCACTGCATGCCACAAGAAAGGAGAAGTTGTTGGCAAGCCTCAGAAGAAGTGTTCTGATGCCGGAGTACCCCATAAACGCAAGGGAAAGGAGAACAGACGCCAGAGCAAGCGTGTACGAGGTTCTGGGTTGTCCATGCAGGCCCCGAAGAGTGCAGAGTTTGTGGACTCATCTGACAAGGAGTACACCAGTGAGGATGAAGCTTAGTTGTCTCTTTTGTATGGCTTTGGTACCACCATGTCCCTTAGTATACATTATATTGATTACAATTCACATTGACTACCTATATACGAAAATCCAGCTGAAATCCATACATACCTTAGCGAGATAGATGAGCTCGCTGTCATGCACAGCAAGCACGAAGGTTTGGACACTGACATGGCTCACTTACCATTATCCGGGGGCTGCTGGTATCCAAATATAGTCACACTGTCTAATATTAGTCCCAAGGTACATGGGTACAACAGCCGAGGTGGGGACGGATATAGCTGAGGCCCCCATAGGTACCTACACCACCTAAGAGGCTTCAGCAGTGCTTATAAGACCCTCCTTTATCAACTAGTTATTCATTTGGGTGCATACAGCTGTAAATCACTCTAATTAGACCCACCATCAGGCTCAGCTGTCAAGTCTAATTAGAGGTACGTGGGAACCACAGGTGGGTGATCGGAGCACTTATCTTAAATATAACTCAAGCTGATCAACTAAGGAAAATGCATGCAAAATTGAAATTGTTGTTCTCATTTTCTGCCAGAATTAAAGGTGATCCCAAGTTTGTCTGTGATCACACTGGGTTCAACATCGCGCTGCTTTCGCAAGTGTCATTTCAGCATACATTCAAAAAGAGAGCATTGACATGTAAAGATCATCGTACTCTTGTCATCTGATTACCAAGACCCTGAGCAAACCGCGAGCCACGTCCACGGGGACCACCGCGCAGGCTTCCTCGTGTCCTGTCTCCCCTTCCTCTACGTTCTTGAGTTTGTTCACCACGCTTCTCACCCTTGTCGCCGGTCCTGTCACCCCATCCTCCGCTACCGCCAAGTTTGATATCAAGCACCTTTTCGTTCTGCTCGAGAAGTGCGCTGACTTTGTCCGCGATAACCTGAGCAAGCTGCTGCGGACGTGAGTGCTCAATGCGGTGGAATACTACCACACCAGTTGACTGATCAAGAGACGCTGATAGCTCTTCATTCCAAATCATCTTGGAAATCATCGATGTAACGGAGCGAAGCGGGAGAGAAAATGTGCGCGACAGGAGGGACAGCGATAGCGTGCTGTAGTAAGGGGCATATGTGAAAAGGTATGTGCGCAGTCCTTGCTCTTGGATACGCCTGTACATTGTGGTCAGAGGTAGAATTGTCGGTGAGATGACAAAACGCACTTCGCAAGCATTTCTTTGACTGAGACAACTTCAGGCATAAGACTCCAGATCTTGATACTCTGAATGAGGTCGCGGCATTTCTCCCACTCGCCGTCTTGTAACGCCTTGCTTGCCTGCATGATATGATCGCGTGTACTTTCAGGAGGACCCGTGAACACTTGGCGATCGGCAAAGTCGAGTAACCGGCGGAATGGCTTTGAGATCGCCTTGCGCTTCTGCTCCTCTGACTCGATGCTAGCAAGAAGGGGGACCTCGACGAGCATACTGGATACGAGGAAAGCTGCCTCGAGAAGCTCAGTGTTTATATGCATATGGAATGGTAATTGACGTGACCGTTCCGCCTTCTCTTGCTCTGGCGTAAGTTGTTGTTGAAAGCGCTGTTGGTGGACACCTTGAGCGAGTAACTCCTTCACGCGCTGGGTTGTGAAGATGTCTTGCAGCGTCGCTTGAGCCTCTTTTATCAACCCGCATCTGAAAGCACAAAGCCCGAGCTGTACAACGGTTCGATTATACAAGATTTGTGTTGCGACATCCGCAGAATGAATTGACTCTTGCAGATGCGACATAAGTAACATGTCTCGTGCCGTGTAGAAGTCATTGTGCAACGCGTGATGGTAGATGTGGCTGAGCATGGCGCGAGTGCGCAGAAGGGAGTTGTCGGCTTTGTAAAGATGAACGCAAAGGGAGTGAATCAAGGAAGAAGTAGTGGCAGAAGATGCCAAAGTGACGCTAGGAGTTATCTCCGACGAAGCCAACGAAGATTCAAGAGCAGATACGACAGCATCAGGCTATGAACATTGTCAAAAAAAAGTACTAGGGTAGACTGACTTCAACTAACCTTGGAATAGATATGCTCCAACCGTCGCATGATTACACGTGCAAGGGGTTCCGGCTGGCTCGTCTGTTCATAGAAAGCTTGCGAACGGCTGATAGTACGATAGAGTACTTTCTCGTCCTTAAGACGGTCGACGTACTCCGTTCCATGGGGATCGATGTTTTGTAGACTCTTCGTGAATTCGTCATCCAGACGGTCTACAAAGCTGATGATGCTGCCACGAATGCGCACAACCCCATCACTCTCGGTTGCAGGATGGCGCTCAACGAGTTCATCATAATCCTCAGTGTCCTCCTGCACGGCGTAGGATGAGTCCGCAACTACTATTGAGATCAACTCATCGACTTCATGTTGCGCCGAGAGCCACAGATCAGTTGGCATATACGATGTGATTGATGAATTGTAGTCAAACCGGGATGAAACGAGCGCCAGGAGGATACGGATGCGTTGATAGGATGTGACCGCTACTTCTAGGAGTTTCTCCAGAATCCGTATTTGTTCCCCTCGGTCGGTGTTCTATAACGTTTTTAATTGGAAGGGAGAAGAGCGAAGGAGAACATGCATACCTTCTTGCCACGAGCCTCATGAACGAGCTTTAAAGTTTTGAAAATGTTGTCCGCGGAGAAAGACATAGCTTTGCCACCTTTACCAACTGTGGTGAACCGATCATCTAATACCGGTTCCCCGTCACTCTCAGAGTCTGCGCTCTTCTTCGGCTTTTTGGGTTTGGGGGCAACAACATCAGCAGGTTGAGCGTGAGCGGTAAATTCACGTTCGAATGCTTCTGGATCCTGCGAGAGGTGAGGATCGTAATAGAATGGTAAAAAAAACCTTACATTCTGATACTGTTGGACCTCCTTTTCAAACTCTTTAGCCGTTTTGCGGACCTTCTGTTTCATCGAGTTGAGTGCTCGAGCATTGGTGGCGTTCATCTTCTTCTTTGCCTCCTTCTCCTTCATCAGAGCAGCATTGAGGGAGTCCTCTAGACTTAGAAGAGTCTTAACAAAAAAAGGAGGTAGCGGTTCTGCAGCGTTACTCTGTCGCTGCACAAGACGCAAGAGCTTGTCGAATTCTAAGAGGAAGACATTCAGTGAATCTGATAAAAACTCGACAAGACTTGCCATTTGATATGGCAACCCAGTCGTTGATTTTGAGTCCATTGTCCATGACCTTGCCAGTAGCTTCAATTTCCTCCAAGCGCTTGTCCTTGGTGCTTTTTACAACACGTTTGACATCCTCGTCTTCACTATCTTCATCCGAATCGCCACGCATGAATCTTGATTTCTTTTTCTGTGTTGGCTCTTCATCTGACATCTCACTTTCGTCCTCATCGGATGACTCTGAATCTGAGCTACTGGAATCGCTTCCTGCTGTGCGTAGGAATCTTGACATGGCCGGTTTGGCGGCAGCCTTTGGGGCGGCGGCATCTTCGTCTCCACTGGTGAGGAGCTCCTCGTCGGATTCTTCTGTATCAGAGTCTGAATCGCCAGCTTGTCTGAAGAATCGAGACATGATTGCACAACGCAAAATCTATATGACACCGATATCTTACCCATAAAAAATCGCTTTCGGCCATTGCCGGACGTTGGCATTGAAGCTCCGCGCTTGTACCCAAATGGAATGTAATGACAAGTATTTTAATAAGTAATTGAGCAAGCCTAGCGCTTACTCACTGCAACATTCCATATGTCCACGCCTGACCTATTCTCATTCCTCGATGGGCTGCCTTCTGGGGATGAGGATAAAGTCGAAAATGTCCCCGAGCCGCGTCAACTCGACAAAAAAATAAAGCGTCGTGCAAGCACGGATCATCCGAGTGATCTCGCGGATGGCGACACTTCTGGCAGTTTTGCTTTCAAGAAACCCCGTGTATCATCACCTGTACCAGTTGTCGTAGATGAGTTCGAGACAGAGGCCAAACGTGAAATGGCCGCGAGTGGAGGGCTTACGGGGTCGGTCGAAGCTGGTTCGCGGCTGGAGCTTAGACATCAGGTATTGAACCAATCACTCGGATAATTTGCATTGATCTTTAACTTTGCCAGGTCCGCCACCAAGTTGCCATACCACCAGGTTATCACTATGTGCCGATCGCGCAACATGTCCCTCCCAAAAAACCGGCAAGGGAATACAAATTCACTCTTGATCCATTTCAGCAAGTCTCGGTATTCGCCATCCAGCGTAACGAGAGTGTTTTGGTTTCGGCGCATACGAGCGCTGGAAAGACGGTCGTCGCAGAATACGCCATCGCGCAATGCCTGCAAAACAAACAACGTGTTATTTACACTAGTCCGATCAAGGTGAGCAACAGTCTTGGTGTGTAATCATGAAGGAATAACTGGAAGTCTAACAGGCTTTGAGTAATCAAAAGTACCGTGAGATGCTCGCAGAATTCGGGGATGTTGGTCTGATGACCGGAGATGTTACTATAAATCCCTCCGCGACGTGCCTTGTAATGACTACAGAGGTATGCGTGGTTCATAGTCATCCTCTCACCGGCTCAGAGACTCTGCAGATCTTACGGTCAATGCTCTATCGGGGATCCGAGATAATGCGTGAAGTTGCGTGGGTAATCTTTGACGAAATTCACTACATGCGAGACAAAGAGCGTGGGGTAGTTTGGGAGGAAACCATCATCCTGCTGCCTGATACGGTTCGCTACGTTTTTCTTTCCGCCACTATACCGAATGCCATGCAGTTCGCTGAGTGGATTTGTAAATCCCACGACCAACCGTGTCATGTTGTCTATACCGACTTCCGTCCAACACCGTTGCAACACTATCTATTTCCTGCAGGAGGTGAAGGTATCTACCTGGTCGTCAATGAGAAAGGAGAATTCCGTGAAGACAATTTCAGCAAAGCTATGGGTACACTTCAAGACAAAACCGGGGAGGACCCCGCCGACCCACACAGCGGAAAAGGTCGTAAAGGCAAGACGAAAAAAGGAGGTGAAAAGAAAGGTAGCTAATTTGTCTACATCTCGCCATCCGCCTAATCATTCCCAGGGCAATCCGATATCTCCAAAATCATTAAAATGATTATGCTGAAGAACTACAATCCTGTCATTGTTTTCGCGTTCAGCAAGCGAGAGTGCGAGGCTCTTGCGCTCACTCTGTCTAAATTCGAATTCAATTCCACAGACGAACAGGAGCTTGTTTCGAATATTTTTCAAAACGCCATCGAAAATCTCTCCACAGAAGATCGGAATCTTTCCCAAATTTCCAATATTCTTCCGTTACTGAAGCGAGGCGTTGGGATCCACCATGGGGGCTTACTACCAATTCTCAAGGAAGTCATCGAGATCCTCTTCCAAGAGGGCCTTATAAAGGTCCTATTCGCTACGGAGACATTTTCCATTGGACTGAATATGCCCGCAAAAACAGTAGTCTTTACTGCCGCCCGCAAATTTGATGGAAGAGAATTCCGAAACCTCTCTTCAGGAGAGTACATTCAGATGTCTGGCCGTGCAGGCAGACGTGGTCTTGACGATCGAGGCGTCGTCATTATGATGTGCGACGAAAAGCTAGAGCCATCAGCCGCCAAAGGCATGATCAAGGGAGAGGCTGACCGGCTAGATTCTGCCTTCCACCTCGGTTATAACATGATCTTGAACCTTCTGAAGGTCGAAGGCATTAGTCCTGAGTACATGCTCGAGCGATGCTTTTTCCAGTTCCAGAGCAGTGCTGGGATTCCTGTTCTGGAAGATGGTGAGTGTTTTGATGTGTGATGTGAAACCACTAATTCCCGCTTAGAGCTGCAGAAGGAGGAAAAACGGCGAGACGCTATCACCGTCCCCGATGAAAACATCGTCGCTACCTATTACGATTACCGTCAACAACTGGATCGCATGGCAGCGGATTTCCGCGAAGTCATTACCCATCCGAACTATTCGCTTCCGTTTCTGCAGCCCGGCCGCCTGATCAAGGTGAAGTATCAAGACTTGGACTTCGGGTGGGGCGTGGTCGTAAACTACCAGAAGCGTTTGCCACCAAAGGTCAGTATCCTCGTCGGACAAATTTAATGGGATACTCATTCTTCTCTAGACATGGCAAAAACATCAGCTGGCCGATATTCCTGCCCACGAACAATACGTCCTCGACGTGCTAATGAACTGCAACGATGGTGCTACGCTATTGAAGGACAAAACGGTATCTACGCCCACACCAGGGGGGATACTCCCTTGTTTCCCTGGCAATAAAGGCTTGCCGCTCGTAGTGCCTATTTTCCTTTCTGCCGTGGACGCGATCAGCCACATCCGTGTCTTCCTACCGAAAGATCTTCGACAAGATCAAGCGCGTGATACTGTCTGGAAGAGCGTTCTCGAAGTGCAACGAAGATTCCCGGATGGCATTGCCCTTCTCGATCCTGTGGAAAACATGGACATCAAAGATGAGAAGTTTACAGCCCTAGTCAATGTAAGTCTTTGTCAATTCAATTACCAACGCATCACATGGAATTAAATACTGTGGACAGAAAATCGATGTCATGGAACAAAAAATGTTCTCAAATCCATTGCACAATGATCCCCGTCTCCCAGAAGTATACACGCTGTACGCCCAAAAGCAGGAGGCACAAACAAAGATACGGGATTTGAAAAGGCGTATTATGGCGACACACGATGTCCTGCAACTCGAGGAGTTGAAATACCGGAAACGTGTACTCCGTCGACTTGAGTGCACGAACTCATCCGACATCGCAGAACTAAAGGGTCGTGTAGCTTGCGAAATCAGCACTGGGGACGAGCTTCTGCTTACTGAACTTATCTTCAATGGCGTCTTCAACTCCCTACTCCCTGAGCAATGTGCCAGTCTACTTAGCTGCTTTGTTTTCACAGAAAAGGTATCCAGGAAGGTTTCGTTCTGAGTGAATTAGCTAACATCCTGATTTCAGAGTGAACACGTGACCAAGCTCACAGAAGAGTTAGCAGCGCCATTGCGCGTTATGCAAGAAATTGCGCGCCGAATAGCGAAAGTGTCACAGGAATCGAAATTACCGTTGGTCGAGGAAGAATATGTTGCGTCTTTCAAAGTCGAATTAATGGATGCCGTTTTCCAATGGTGTAGAGGAGCTTCGTTTTCCGACATTTGCAAAGTTTGTCAACGCTACCCTTCATCGTGAACTTACTAATTTATTGACTGGACGCAGCTGACCGATCAATTTGAGGGAAACCTGATACGTGTCTTTAGGCGCCTTGGTGAATTACTTCGTCAGATGGCTCAGGCCGCCAAAGTCATTGGCAACTTGGAACTTCAAGAAAAATTTCAGAAGGCATCTGAAATGCTAGAACGCCCTAATTCTGTCATTTTTTGTTCTTCCCTGTACCTGTAGAATCTATGACGCTCCAACCCTCACTTTCCTCAGGACGGGTAATTTCTTGCATGTCTGTCATGTTGATAAGCCAGAACATTTGGGCCATTGTTTGCGGGAACCAGAAGCAGATGCGATGATGGTCATGCAAAATGTTTGCGGGGACGAATTACACTGAAAGCTAAAATAAAAGCATGTGCAACCAATCTGGTAGTCAAACGATCGTGGGCAGGGTACTGTCATGACAATATTGAGCTGCAACTGACAACAATATCAATGGCACGAGCTAAGCACCAATCCGCCACTTCCTAAGAACCCGCTACCACTGTCTCTTACCTCCGCACGTTCATGGTTTCGCGCCATCCGTGTATGCTGCATGCTGTACCAAGTCACACCCAATTGCACTCTCTACACCACCAACTGTCAAATTCACACGTTGTGTAATTGACGAAAAACGATTTAGATGTGTATGATAAAGCTAGAACCCTGTACATAAATGGCATATTTCTTATAAATAACACCGTTATTTGACAATTGTTGAACATCAAATCTCCATAAGAGGTCTAGTTCAAAACATTGACCAGAGCCTGACACGCACCCGGAATCAGCATGGGAAACAGCTCTGTTTGCATGCTGGGAGCGAAGTATCGGCACAGCAACAGCGCCAACGAACGGGTAGCATATGAAACAAGGTATAGGATCTATATACCGAAAGTATAGCGGAGGTACGGGGTAAATATAGTATCTATGATGGCACTCTTGCTTTGGTACAACAAATATAGCACGTTATCAAGACTCAGTAATACTCAGTGATACTCAGTTGCCCGCTTTGCGGTTGAATCACACACAGGATAGGATAGAACATAAAGCCATAATGTATTGTATATTGGTATGGTAAAACATAGATGTGCAATGATACAATATGCCCCCCATCCATCTTGGCGAGTGTCCTAATATTCTATGGAGGAAAATTATGTAGTAGAAATCAAACGATAAGGGTAAAAAAGCGCAATGTGTCTGGAGAACTCTCCCCATATGAGGTCCCGGGTATCACTGTGCGTCAAAGGAGTAGTGAGCTCTTCGTCAGCATCTTCGACGGGCAAATTGATGCCGCACTCCACCCACTCCTCGATGAACTGGCCCTCGAGAGGAATACGCGGATCCCAGAAAGCCCACTTGCCATTGGGGAAGTCAGGATTGGCAGCGACAAATGCGTACCAGAATGCGTCCCGGCCCCAAGTCCATTCAGGCGTCACTGCATCCGTGAACGTCAGGAGCCATGACTGTATAGTGCCGGAGAGTCTGGCCCAGTGGTCAGGATCCATGTGATCGAATGTCGACGGCAAGGGGAGGAAGGTAATTGATGCATCATCAGATTCACCACCAGACATGGGGCAATGTTCATATTGACCGCACTTCACACGCCCCAAGGTCAGCAGTCACAATACGGAAAATGTGAAACACTTACATTATTGAAACGGTAAGACTCTCTGGAGTGCTGAGACTCTACCTCAATCACGGGTACTGTGAATAATTGGTACTCCTCATTCAGAGAGACACTAATTTTAATTGGCTAAATAGTGATTGAAATAAGTAGCACTTGTCAAGGAACATTAGGGGACATACAATGTTCGGGTGAGCGAGGTGTCGAGGAACCGCACCGGAAAAACCACACTGAGACTGAGAGAGGTTGTAATAATATATCCTCAGATTCAGCTTGCAGAGTATCTGGATAGAGGATGGAAGTTGAAAAATTGGAAAAGCTGAGTGCTCCGTTGTCTGGAGTCTCTTGCATCGTGTTTGACATCAAAGGTCGAACTTGGGGAAAAATGGAATGATACAAGTCACGTGTTTTCAGCAAACCCCTTATTGAATCGCTGGCAGGACTCACTGCTTTCAAATTTTTGCACCTTGTCTGCGCACTGTGTTCTGCCTGTGGGAGCAGAGGATATGTCAAATATGAAGTGTAAGTGGTGCTGGTGTTGACTCTGGTGTTGGAAAGTCTAAAGCTTGTGCCCAGACTCAAGTCTCAATATGTTCCCCCATCTCAGCGCTTATGAGTGGGATCCCTAACATATTCCCTTCATTCTGCTCCTCCGTTACCCATCTTACCATTCGCTCTGTCACTAACTCGTACCCGGCATGGCATTTCCTCCGTTTACGGACTATCAAGAAGCATTTTCCTCTCCATTACCACTCTCACCAACTCGTACCCAGCATGGCATTTCCTCCGTTTACTGGACTATCGAGAAGCATTTTCCTCTCCATTACCGCTCTCACCAACTCGTACCCGGCATGGCATTTCCTCCGTTTACGGACTATCAAGAAGCATTTTCCTCTCCATCACTATCCTACCGCCGCCGCCCAGCTCTTCTTCATCTACCCCATGGCGAACACTCAATACTCAAGGGTGGGTTCTTTATCATATTCCCTTCTACATATCATCATCTGCTAATAATTCCTATCTACCTCTCCTACCTTTGCTGCCCAACATCTCCGTACTCAGGAGCGGATTCTTTATCATATTCCCTTCTACATATCATCTGCTACTTACTAGTATCGATCTATCATACCTTTGCACCCACATCTCCGTACTCAGCCTTCGTTACTCATATCTCCGTCCTCAGGAGCAGTATCACTCATCACTCATTTCCTTTGCTATTCCACCTCATCTTTTCCACCCCTGAGATTTATATATTCAGGAGCGGGTTATCACCACGCTTTTCGTTCTATGTATCATCGGCTGCTTCACAGGACAATGTGAATTGATATTTTTTGTGTCCTATCAGATTCACGGGTTGGATCACGTGATTTTCGCACTTCAAGGCGTCAAGTCTTTCATCGGCACGCTGCAATCACTCGAAAGCACATCAGTATAATGAATCCATCATTGTGGAAGCTCGTTGATGGAAAAAGTATGTTTCGTGCTTGATATTGATGTAATGTGCTGCTGACATATGATATAGTTTTCGAGTTTCGTCGTCTGCCTCAAGTCGTGTGCAATGTCTGTCCAACACGTGGTGATGGATCATTGCGTACAATGCATCTCAAACACGTACAGAAACATTCTACAATGGCGGTGCACAAACGTCGTGTCAACAATCTCCCACCTTCAAAAGTTTACTCTCCAGAGCAGTACCCCCTTCATAACCTTATGTGTGCCGGCAGTCAGAATGACAACGACAACGTGGAACTTGCCACCTCAAGTACCATGGACATCGATATCGACAATTCCAGTATTCCCGCACCGGATCATGATGTACCGGTTGATTCGGACTCAGAACTAGTACCCATCTCTGAACTCTGGAATGCAATATCAAGCAGCCGTTTCTACAACTCGGAACTGAATGAAACAGGGGATCTATTCGACGAACTGCGGTGTGCTCTCACTTCTGGGGAATCTCTGTTTCCCATGCCGCTCGCTCCCATGACCGAGGAGATTGGTTTTGATGATGAGACAGAATCGAATTTTGGCATTGAACTCGAAGGTAATGCACTAATTCATCACTTTGAACGAGACTTATTTCAATTATCAGATGACGGTCCGTTAAACACTAAGGGTCGTGTAAACCTCAACAATCCAGTATCGCCTGACCATCCAACGTACCCATGGCCATCAAAAGCTGTATGTTGACAGCTCTTGTGTATTCCTTACACTGACATCTCATTTAAGCATTTCATCACTGCACTACTGTTCAGTTCTCCGAGGCTTCCATTTTCAGAGGCGCAGAAAAAGGCAATTTTATCTTGGGCAAAGGAACTCGGTGCCCTTGATGTTCCCTCACTGTACGCCTTGAACCGCTTCCAGGAGACTGTACAAACACTTGTCGGAAATCCGACAGAAAAGGTCACTGCTCGTTCGGGGAACATATTCTATCTCAATGATGTTGGGCGAGCAATTGCAAAGGTATGTGGAATCTTATGTGCTTGTGCGCATCTTTCATACTGACTTGAACCTTTCTATCAAGGATTATGCCAACCCTCTGACTCGTTTCGCAATGCAGGATTACCCAGAAGATGGAGGACGAGGAATGTCCCAGGTTTTCAATGGGGAGAAGATGTTATTCGAGCTCCCTTCGCCCCCAGCAGCGAAAGTCGATGGGGAGATATACTTTGTAAAAGAGCTCTTGCAAGATAGCTCGAAAGACTATTTTATCCCCGAACGTTTTTTTTTCGCATTGTATACATCAACAAGTAATACAGCGGAGAAGGTGTTACATGCACTAGGACGTGCTGCACAACGAACGGAGGTGATCTCGTCATTTGCTTATTTTAACTAATCTTGTTGATAAACATATAGGAAGGGTTCATTGTCAGCGACGAGCAAGAAATCATCCCGACGACTAGCTTTCGGAGGTCATTCAGGGAGATATCACTCGACGTCGATGAACTTGCATGCGGACTGACAGCATCATCAAATAAGTATGCTAAACTCGAACCGAATCCGTTACACGCCAAGTCTCAAGGTCGCATGGTGTACGCTGTCCCTCTCATTATTTTTATGGATGATGTGTCCGGGAATATCTCCAAACAGTGGAACAAGCACCATGCTATATATATGTCAAATGCGAATTTGCCTCGCGAAATGCTGGAGAAAGAGTTTTGCGTTCGATTCGTCACTTCTTCTCCTCACGCAGCTCCCATGGAAATGATGAGCGCTATGCAAGACTCAATTGGGTATGTGATACACTAATACTTGATGTAGTACTGATATGACCTGCAATCATAGGAAGGCTGCCGAATCTGGGACCTTTGCTTGGGACTGCAAAGACAACGAAGAAGTCATGCTCGTCCCGTATGGTCTCTTTCTTGGTGGCGACAACCCCATGCACGCTGAAGAGTGCAGTCATGCAGGGTTACATTGTAACTACTTTTGCAGGACATGTGAAGTTGGTGGAACGAAGGAGTATAAGGAGTCGGATGAGGGCTACAACAGCATTTTTGTGGTATGTACGATGTTCTTGTGCTCTTCACAATATCGACTCTTCGTTTATAGCCGGGACAGCTTCGCACTCCCGCAGGAACAGCAGCTGAAATTCGCGCTCAATTCGTCACTGCACTCCAGTCAGGCGCTTCCGAAAAAATCAAGAAGTCTGTCGCTTCAACAGGTGTCAAAGACACTACAACCGCCTACATTCTTGACGCAGTTGTTGAGATGGGAAAGAAACTGCGCAAACGGGTGGCTGGCATCCAGCCGAAACACGACAGCGAAGTCAGGACAATTTTGAACAAGGAGCTTGAAGATCTCTTACAAGGGAGCACACTCGATGACGCAATCAATCCTTTGCTCGGTGTGAAGGGTAAGTATTGAATGCGTGTTGCTGGCTGCATACTGATCTCCATCAGGATTCAATGTTCACCAAGACACGCCAACGGAGATACTTCATACGGTGCTATTGGGGGTTGTAAAGTATTTTTGGGGTCAGACCGTTTATCTTCTTGAGAAGGCGAAGCTTATGGATCTTTTTCAAACACGACTTGATTCAATCGCGAAGGATGGACTCGACTCTCCACGTCTCAATGCTGATTACATTTGTCACTACAAGGGCAGTCTCATCGGCAAACATTTCAAGAGTTTGGCTCAGGTAATGCCATTTCTCATTCAAGATCTGTTGCCGAGAACGGTACTCGATGGATGGACCATTATCGGTGAGCTCATTGTGCACATTTGGCACACCAAAATAGATGATACAGGAGATATACTTGGTATGACGACGGGCTGACGATGCTGTTCCAACACTGATTAACTCATAGGCTAAGCTTTCTCGAACCATTGAAGATTTCCTCAATGTCACGGCTCAATGCGCACCTAGTATCCTTATTTCAAAACCAAAGTTTCATTTCTTGGTTCATCTTCCTGCTTACATCCGCCGCTTTGGACCTGCAATTCTCTTTTCCACTGAACGATACGAGTCTTTCAATCATATCTTCCGGCTTGCATGTATCCACAGCAATCGACAAGGACCAAGTCAGGATACGTGCAGAATCTTTGCGAGACAAGATATCGTCAAGCACATTGCTACGGGTGGCTACTGGTTTGATACTGCGAGGAAAAAGTGGGTTCGGGCGGGTGACAAGGTGTTAAGCTACGTCGATGAGCATCCAGAGCAGGCGCGGCTTTTGGGAATTCATATGGAAACATCTCCTGTAACAGGTAGCGTGATGCTTCAATGCTGATTCAATGCTGACCTTGCTTAAAAGGAACCGGTCAACTCAAGAAGGTCGCTGCCGTAGATGGACAGTTTGTCCCAGACAAGCCTGTTCCATGGACAGCAACGCGCTGTGCAAAGGCACTCAATATCCCGCAACCTGCCACCATTCAATACCGCCATGGAATCTCTTTGGTTGTCGGCAATGGCGAGAAGGCATCCTTAGGTGGACATGTCATTTTTCATGACACCTCGACATCTTCCTCAGAAATCGGATGTGTTCGCGAGATTCTGATATCAAACTCTTGCCGGCGTGTGCAGCATGTTGCTATTCAGAGATTTACTTTTGGACCTGCCTTACATCCCTTGCTTCACCTCCCCGCTCTTGAGCTCACAGACCACGACGTTGTCATTAGCCCCGAAGTAAGTTTCAACATATCTCCAATTCAGAGTCCTTACAATGCACGATGTATTTTAGGACATTATTTGTATCGTAAATCTTCAGCACGACTGCGTTAAAGCACAGTGCACAGATATTAGTCAACGCCGTGTTCATCAAGAACGAACCGAGACCGCGCGTACAAGGCCTGTCGTTCAGCACCAACCCTCACCATTTTACCTTCTCAATGCTTATTCAATTCACAATCACGCTCAGATTCGATCTGTTATCCCTCAGTCTCTCTGTGAGACACCACTGAGGGTCCCCAATGCGGCTGATGTCCGTCTTGCAGCAGCTCGTCAAATTCGGGAGAAGAAAGCAGCGAAAAAAGCCGGTGAAACACCAGGTGCCACATCTGTAAGTGCACCGCCCGACGATGTGGCTAGAGTCCCTGCAGTGTTCGACCGCCCAGCAGCAAAGGCGGCCAGCAAAGCAAAGCCAACACGGAAAGCAAAAGAGAAGGTACCTCGTCCACGCGCAAATGCACGACACCCCACGATCATTCAGTCAGCTGCGTCTTCAAGTCACCAGCTCTCAACACCCCTCATGACACCAGTTGCCAGCGGATCTTCCTATGTGCCATCACCACCGGCACCTACGCCATCAATGCATCCACCCACAATAGTGCCATCCCAGTGGCAGCAATCTCTCATTCCTTCATCCAGAGTCCCCCCTTCCCATCACCCGTTGCACCCGCTCCCAATGATGTTGACATGGCAATACCACCATCCCCCACCGACGCACACTGGTCAACTTTTTGCACCAGTGATGACACCGCACGTATGGAACCCTCAAGCCGATCCATTGCATCACGACCAGTTCAGAAGATAGTTATTAGACTACTTACATGAAATGCATCTTCTTGGCCAAATTCGCGTGTTTGTCTTTGAAGTTCTTTCTCCAACAGTCGGGTGCTTACCTTCCGGATTCTCCGCCAAATTAGCATGTTTGTCTTTAAAATTCTTCGTCCAGTGGGTCCTTGCCTTTTGGATTCTTCACCGCCGAATTCGCGTGTTTGTCTTTGAAATTTTTCCTCCGGTGAGTCCTTGCCCTTTGGATTCTTCGCCAAATTCGCGTGTTTGTCCTTAAAATTCTTCCTCCAGCGGTCAGGTGGCTTGCCCGACAAATTCCCATGTTTGTTTTCGAAGTTCTTCCTCCAATGTTCAAGGGCAAGCTATGGTGGCATCGTTGGATGGTCCAATTTTTTCTATATACCATTTCAGATACCTTACATACACAAATACTATGATGCCGCATGATTTTTACTTCTGCCCAGAACGCATCAAGAGTCCCCAAATTTTTGTCAAGACTCGAACGACAACCAAACAAGTTCAAATTCCTATTGCCAACAACGTGTTCAGTCACCCAGCTCGGAAGTATTATCTCGGCACAAACTTTCGCACTTGAAGCAGCCACTCACGGTGAGCAACTTTTGGTGCTGTGACAATGTTTCAACGCGGATATCGTCTGCATCTGCCCTCTGGTGATGGCCAAAGTTTAGGGTTACCTTCGCAAGGAGCCCAGTCATCGAGGCCGCGGTCAAACACGGGAACTTCATTCACTAGGTCTGTCAGGGATAGAAGTATCACACCGGACCCAAGCGGCAGCAGGCATTTATCTGTTGGAGAACCCGGAAGTAAGTCCTGAGAGACGAGTTATGGTTAAATTTAACAGTGCACTTTGTAGACATTTCGCGGCCCCAAAGTTCTCGCTCTACTCATGGCAATGAGGGCATAGAGATACCTAGTCTGGGAATTCAACCTCCCTCCAGCCCGACATCGTCACTTGACGAGCCAATCAGCATAGGTGTTCGTCGACGCAGGGACAATGAACCTTCCGACCATGGGGATCCCACCAAACTCACACCTCAACGTACAAAACGTTTGAAAATGCATGCGAAGAAGGGTTGTGACGAACATGAGGTTCCACACGAAGAAGTTATGACTTTCATTGATGTATTAAGTTCTCATTGGATGGCTTGTTCGTCGTGTTGGCTTACTTGATGCAGTCTGGCAGCATTTTCTATATGCTCGTTGACCTGAAGATCACCCTCGTCAAACTTTGTCAGGGAAACAAGGCCACGAGAATGCAGGAATTAAAAGATGCGTTGGAATTGAAGGACTTCGAGGTAACGATACGGTACTTTGCGTTTTGTTGTATGCTGAATTTGAATCATAGAATGGACTTTACAACCGCTTGTTTGCTTGCATGTTGTCACCGAATCTCACAGCGTATGTCACTGACACTCAGTGTCATATAATGGTTAGGCTCTAGTATTCGCTATCCTAAACGACACCACTAACATAACGTATTTCAGGACTTCATCGTCAAGAATAGGGATGTCTTCAAAATCCCCCCCGGACTTCTCGACGATGTTGAGCTTAGAGCTCAGTTAGGCAAGGTGGTCACGAAGCTGCTCACAAATATTTGTTGTGCCATCAAGACGGCTGTAAGTCTCGCTCTACTTTTTGACACAACTTCAATCATTATAATGATTGTGTAGCTCACCACATCGATTGTCAAGCGCACGAGTGTTGCCGATGTGACCAGGTCGCTTGCACGTAGTGGGTCTGGCATGGAGGTTGATTCTACTCACTGGAACAGGATTTCACTACTGGTAAGTCGTACTATCTTTAATGTAATATCAACATTAATTGATGCAAGGACAGCGGCGTCTCCTGCGGATTTTTCTCATCGGTGTCAGCGATTACAAAACCGCTTCCATCAAGGACTTATTTTCCCCTTACCTTGTTCCATCGCTCAAGCAGGATTTACGGGACAAAGTCACACGCGAGCTCAATATTGACGTTGAACAGCTTGAAAGGGAGCTATTTGACGCTGATTTCGATAATGCGCCTAGGACTGATGTCAATCCAAGTCAAGTCCCCACAGGCACTCAAGTCAATGGCAGTCATGCGTCCAGTGCTGGGAGGGACCAGAATGATCCTGACATGACCTACGGACCGCTCACGGATCAAAGTGGAGTGCAGCAGGATGATTTGGACACCAATGGAGAGGACAACGAGTCAAACGTGAGCGGCAGTGCAAACGGTGTAGTTCTACTCGACGACCCACTTGACTCCGGATTTGGACTGGTCGAAGGCATGCCAATGCGGTACAACAGTACAATTAAGTTCTGGAACTTCGTCGACCACTCACTCTTAATGATGCGCAAGATAGCTATTGAATCCTCCCCAATCGTCACCAAGCAGGAAAAGGAATTGCAAAAGTATGTATTCATATGGTCAGCGACATTATACGGACTGATCTTTGATTAGGTTGTTCATCGAAATTTTCCAAGCTGATCTCGCTGAGTTTCCTGGTAGCAAGAAGGTCTCAAAGCTCATTTCGAAGACCAACCCACGCTGGCAGACCACCATTCAGTCCGGACTCATTTGGTAATTTCAATATACTTTCATTTGTTTTCGCCACTCCCTCCAGCCTCATTCTTTATCTTAATACTCGAGCTTGCCTGTAATCATTTGATACATGAATAATACATTCGTTGCACTTTCCACGATCCTGTTTATTGTGCTCTCTGTGATTCCCATGGTGTATCAGTGTGAAAAAAAATTCAAGCAGTACCCAGGCAGCATATCAATAAGACATGTTCCAGTGTCATACATATGCCGGAAATGTATAGCTTACACACTGGCCAACTAGCATATTGCCAATGCCTAGGTCTCAGTATACAATCTATGCTTGTAAAACAGGATAGTTCCGGTGCTCGGTCTCAGTACATACCGTGCACCCAAAACCAGCCAATGGATTTATAGCCCACAAGCATTGCTGTTTGTGCTCTAGCATTATTTTTTTTATGTCAGCCTACGAGTCCATCAAATATGTATTATATAATTATATATAACATACACGACGAAATTTCCCGTGAGGAGATCGGAGCGATAAAAGTTATATAACCCTATTTTTAGGCATAGATTCTATGCTTTTTTCGATTGGCGGTGTAGCTCCAGCATGACTCATTAGACTAGTAGCTAGTTCGATTCTACATACTACTTTCTAGGTCTAGGTTACTCTAGCTACAACTGTTTTCGCCAGTTTTTGCTTTCCCTGTGTAAATCCTATTCATCTTTTTTTTCCTCTTAGAATTATTTTCACTAAGAACGCCACACCTATAGTAGTTTGAGGGCTAGTCCGTGTCCCGGGCCAATTCAGCATTACAGAACGGTTTTGAAGACTTCAATGAATCGTCCTCTACTCGTTCTCTATAGCGAGAAGATACAGCATCCTCCGTATCCTTAGCCATTGTAAATATATCACTTATGCCGGGTAACCAAATTCTATACCGCTGATAATGACACCGATATTCTTATTCCACTTTCCGGTACTAATACAATAAACGTAATAGCATGTTTGCATAGTTGCTTGGATGATGACCTCGACATTTACAGCTTCTACGCAGCAGCACCGACACCATGCCTGAAGCGAACTGCCTCAGACGCAGGTTTGACAACCAAAGGCTTGGCAGTGGGGGAACCGATAGCCTTGGCAATGCAGTCGGACAGAGATTGGTCGACAGATGCAAAGTAAGAAACTAGATTAACTTTAGTTGAGCAACAATATCTGGAGATCATATTTGAACGTACGAGTCCGGGCTCTAACTTCAGCGCTTTTGGCACCACCAAGGTGGCCAGCAATGTTGGAAACCAGGCGCGCCCTGGCTGCGTCATCCATTACATTTTGGTAGAGTGCGCGCGGTTGCTCGAAGTCAACTAGAAAATTCGTCATCGTCATCAAACTCCAACAAGCAGTGTTTTGGCCGCCTACGCTCGGTGATCTCGCTCAAGTCCCAGAATGCTCCACCGACCCAGCTTTCATGCTGTCTGGCTCTCTCAGAGTCTCTGGGTGTGCCATTTTTAGATCCCTTGTTGCTCAAGTATGTCAAGGGCGTAATGGAACTCTGATAGTTTGGCCGGGCTCCCTGGCTGTTGAATGCCATAGGGCCATCGCGTTGGAAGTTGGCAACAGAGATAATAGGCGCATTGACAGGGAGCTGGTGGTAATTCGCGCCAAGCCGGTGACGGTGTGTGTCAGGGTAAGCGAACAGTCGTGATTGAAGGACAGGGTCAGCAGTGGCCTCGAAGTAGGGAATCAAATGGCTTGGCGCAAAAGCAGCCTATTAAGAGTTATTTGAATATATCGATCAGCCCACATCGTGGCGGAATGAATTAAATTCCCATTACCTGTTCAATTTCAGCGAAGTAATTTTGCGGGTTCTCGTTGAGCACGAATTTTCCTACGGGGCGCAAGGGGTAGTCCTTGTGGGGCCAAATTTTTGTCAAGTCCAGGACATTGTAACGGAAGTTTTCGGCCTGCTCTGGAGTCATAGTTTGCTGAATTGGAGGTTAAATATTGAAGTTGAAGGCATAAATGATAAATCACTGACAACATAGACGGTCCAGGACGGGAATTTTCCAGCATCTATGGTTTCGAACAACGACTGAATACCATAATCGGGGTTGTCTGCGGACAAATTGCGAGCCGTAGCAGTATCAAGGACCTATGGAATACATTGGCAACAAAAGGTTGTGTCAAAAGGGCATACAAACCTTGAATCCGCCATCAGCAATACAGTGAATCTGGGTGTAGACCCATGAGCCGTCATCTTTCACGAGCTTGAAGGTATGGCCGGAATAAGCGTGCATGTTGTGGTAGCCGTCGGGTATCCCGCGGTCGGAAAACAGTATCATGACTTGATGTGCCGATTCCGGGTTTTGGGACAGGTAATCCTACGAGGAAAAATGGTTGGATTTGGACGCTTTGAAAGTGAAATGGATCTTACCCAGAACATGTCTGGATCTTTCAGGTGTGTCTGGGGGTCACGCTTTTGGGTGTGAATGAAGGGCGGGAACTTGGCGGGATCTCTGATGAAGAACACAGGTGTGTTGTTGAACACCCAGTCTAGGTTACCCTCTTCTGTTTTCAATTTCAAAGAGAAACCACGGGGATCGCGAGCCGTGTCGGCGGAACCACTTTCCCCACCGACAGTAGAGAAACGGGCAGTGATTTTAACTTGCTTGCCAACGTCAGTGAATAGTTTGCAAGAGGTGATGTCACTGAGATCGTGGGTCGTTTCGAAATAGCCATGAGCACCAGCGCCTTTGGCATGCACCTAGTATATGATGGATATAGAATCTTATTCATCTGGATGTTGCACTTACCACACGCTCAGGGATCCGTTCCCGATCGAAATGAGCAAGAAGATCGATGTGATGGAAGTCTGATGTGTGGATTAGCATGAAAATGTATATCAACTAAATCAACCAACCCTGAAGGAGGAGGGGTCCCACAGGACCAACACGTTCAGCAGCAAGGGGATGCGCTACGGGTGCACCATTAGAGGTGGTGTATACTGCGCCATCTGTAGCAGCGAAGACTTGCGGGGATGGCATGATTGAGAGATGATGAGTGCTGAAGAGAAAGATGGGGATATGATTCGAGATGGAGAGTGGATTATAAGTACCCCTGGGAAGTGTCTTACGAATACGTGGATGATCACGCGCTCCGCTGCGCCCCGAGAATGGTTCGAGCGCTCCGTTGTGCACCCATTAGGACTCAGCTGTGTTGTGCACACAAGAATAGTCCATCAGATATGATAATGATGACACTTGGTCGACAAATGGTGACACCTGGTGGACAAATGGCTTACTGCCCCTGTCACACATATCTTGCCCAATTGCGCTGCGAGGCAGTGGTTGGTTGGACAACCATGGAAATGCAATTCCATTATTAGGAGAGCCTCGTGGAAAGATGTAGTTAGATCGTGAGTATTTGAGTACTTGAGTACTTGATACACTCCCACGAGCGTTTTGACTGGAGTCTTGACCAGAGCTCGCACGGTCGCACCTGGGAGCCGCTTGTGAATAACCAATCAAGCTTGAGATTAAAAAAACAAATACCGTGATTCCCTCATCCTTACAGGTTGACGCCACGAGGCCCAGGAAACGTGTCCTATGCTTTAAAAGTCTACCTGATACTGGATGACACGGCGGCCTGACGCTTGACGTCTAAGAGCTTCTGGATCACTATCGAAATATGACATGACTCAGGACTCCATTTTCCAGATAGCATTGATGACACGTGGCACTGAATCGATTGCGAACGCATCCCAGAGCCTCTGATCAGTTCCCAGAGAGTTACGCAACTCGTTAGCCAGCCATGAATAACTAACAATGACCCATAGATCACTGTTAGGCGAGGCATCAGAACTTGAACAAGCTGGATACCATGTGATTGCCGAAGTTGATATACTGGAACTCTCCAGTTCGGCCATCGGCATGAGGAAACTCCCAAATATTTATGCACTGAATCTAGGTTATTGCATAATTCAAGCGAGATGAGTTCACCTTCTCATGTTGGATATTGGAGGCACCTAGTCGGTGTGTAAAGTGTCATTGTGGAACACACCCATGAGAACTCTCAGACCGTGCTGATGGTATATTTCATACGAAACTACATCATGACAACTCGGAAGTGCGCTAAGATGTTGACGAATTTTGTGAGAAAGGCTTTGTACCATCGGAACGATCTCAGTGGCAGGTGTCAACTGTAGAGGTCTGGCGAAGATCGTTGTCAGTATAATGGAGGTGTGATGCCGAGCATTACCTTCATTTACTACGTTCTTTGATGATCTTCACACCAGGTAATATGCGTCTACACGACATGGATGGCTTGGCGACCTCTGGTTGAGTATTGAGTGTCGGTAGCGATGCTGAAGGTGTGCTATTATTGTCCGCAGAAAGCCCTGGATGAGTAATAGGTTCTACGCGGGCGGTAAGACGCCGAACGGTTGGGCCTGCGGGATTTCTCGAAGAGAGAGAACCCTTCAAACCAAGACACTGCCTTGAGGCCGAACTTAATAACGCAGCCGATGGCGGTGGTTTTGGTGGCAACGAATTAAACGAATCGGTGGTGCTTGATTCCATCTGGCGTAACTTTGCCTCCATCGTCGCAATCTTGTTATCCGTACTAATAATTTGGAGGTAAGTCAAAAGGTACCCTTCTGAACATAAAATTCACCCTTCTGACCGAGTATGGATTCCACTTTTTATCATACTCAGAGTAGTCGGTCGCGCATCAATTCTTCTCGCCCTACCCACTTGTCGACTTCCACTGGGCTGTTCGAGCGGAGCTTGATAAGCAAAAGTGACAGCCAGCTTACGACCCCGCAATAGCCTCCCATTGATGTTTTCCAATGCCGTCTGGGCATCCTGGTGAGGGTCATTTATTAGTCAAGCTGACAATGACCAGAAAGGACAATGGCCGCCACATGCACCACCATATATCAACGCAATCGCGACTAAGCGGCGGCGCTTTACAGAATTATGACTTACACTTTCGTGCAAATATTGTATGAAGGCATATCCACGTGGTTTTCCTTTGTTTGGCCCCGTCTTGTGAAAGAGGAAGTCAAGTTTCGATACTTTGCCGAACTTGGTGAAGATCTGTAGAAGCGCATATCTGTCCACAATTAGAGGATATGAGCCGAACCACAACTAGCTAACTCACTCATCGACAGTAGGATGCAGATTTCCAATATACAAACGATCCCTTAATTGTGAAGATGAATTAGATGCCTGAGGTATGGCAATAGCTTGTTCTTGAGCTTCTGGCTCTGGAAACCAGAGATGAGCGCTCAAAGATGAATCATCCTTGTCTGCTTGTGGAGGTTGTGCAGGGATATCCTGAGAATTTGTGACCATTGAGTATTGACAAGCAGTGAATATTGACCAGGTCACCGGGGGTACATGGTATGTGAATTTGTATTAGAGTTTGGCAGTCAAGGATGTCGATGAAGCTTGAAAGTCACGGTAGTACCGGCGAGTCCTGACGGAGTTTCAAATGGTCCATAGTGTTGCCGCCGCTGAGTAATTAGACTAGAATACATTTTTATTGACCACGCTCTGTAGTAAAACCAAATAAATGCGACAACAAAGTCGCTCGCTGCGCTTGCGTTGTGTACTGCGCAAAAACCATACGAACAACGCAGGTGGATAGATAATTGCTATTTTAAAATATTTACAAAATGGTGGGTTTGTCGTGTAAGAAAAGAAAGATTCGCAGACTTCGTGAGGAATGAAATGCAAGTAAGGATTGATACCGCTATGGCTACATGTAGTTGTGACGTGCAAGAATAAGAATTGGTCCTGATTGAAGCAAACTCAAGTTGTCTGGCTGGATGCCAAAACCAACGTCTATGTACATTATGATGTCTTGCTACTGGGCATCCACATGGCTCTGCTTAATGTGGCGCAGAAGAGCATCTTTACGGGACAGGAATTTCTGGCAATGAGGGCATTTGACTGTCATCGAAGGCAGGCCTGGGCTAAACTTGCAACTCCCCAAGTGCCTCTCCATGTCGTTTCGACGCGTAAAAGACTTTTTGCAGCCATGAATTTTCATCAAACAGTCAAATCGCTCTTCCTTGGCTCCCTCGTGCCTTGTCACTCTTGAGGAACGATAACTGACTTTCCTAGCCTTGGATGCTGCCCGTTTATGGATGCGATTGGGTTGGTAATCGTCATCGTCATCGTCATCGTCGGTCCGTCGGCGCTTGGCTCCTCGACAAACGTCAGCCGGTTTAATACCAACATGACTTGGGTTGAAAGGCGACGGGAGCTGACTCGGATGCTGTACGTTAGTACGGAGCGGACAGGGGGATGAGCTTGGAGAAATGCAGATTTGCACTTGTGATGTAACGTTCTCCGTCAAGCCCTCTGTAAATCTTAGGAAACGAGATCGCTCCGCGGGATTAGAGTCTGGCAAGATAGACGACGAGTCATGCACCAGCTCAGCATCGTCAACTGGAAGCACAAGCTTCGGCTGAGACACATTCTTTAAGGATGGTACTGAAGAAGGCATATCCAAGACCGCCCGGCAGGCAAGGTCTTCTTGCAATTGTTCAGGATAAGCCGAGTCTTCCATAAATCCTTCTTCCTCAAAAAACGGAGTGCAATGCGCTGCGACATCGAGAGGCCCAAAGTCTTCCAACGGACCACAGAAGAGGTCAGGGAGAAGGGCGCCGCCTTGTGGAGTCAAGGGGGACCTGCTCGACGCGACACTGAACGGTGATTCATCAGGGCTCAACTGTGGTAAACCTAAGAAGTCTCCAGTTGCAGATGATCCTGGATACCGATATCGGGCAGCCTTAAGACACACGTGTCAGCATGGACTTATGAGATCTTCGATTCACGCACGTTAGATGCTTGCAATTGGTGGATAGCCAGATTCTCGATATATGCTGCATCGTCCGTATCCTCGAGGTGAAGATCAAGGTCATCAGAAGACCAGAGCACCGTTGGTGCTGTGGATGACTCGAACTCAAAGGTTCTGTCCTCAGTCAGTTAATCGACCATTCACTTGACCACAAAATTAAGATTCCAATGCTCACCTTAAACCATCCATAAAATCGAGCTTCGATGGGAGCTCGGTTTCTCGTTTAAAGGATTCTGAATCCTCAGGATATACAAGGTATTCATTGTAGTTGCTAGACGACGGAAGACGCATGTGAGATGAGGTAGATGGTTAGGGAAAAGTGTCGGATAAGATGAGGAAGTGCACCTTCCGCAAGGCGACCTTCTTATCGGCCTTGAAAGTCCTGTTGACACTTGAGGGTCCATCCCTCACAAAAACGTGTTGTACACGCGTCAACAAGGCTGTAGCCTTGATGCGGAAGTGCATCTTAATTGTTCCGAGCGTCTTTAGTGGGCTAAGAAGCCAATCGTAGTAGGCGCTGGACCGTCGTATTTGTTAGATCTACGAGGTTGTTGTATTATTTTGAAGAAAATAAAGGACCAACCGACATCACTTTTTTCGAGGTATCATAGCTAGTGCCAGCCTACGACGTACTTCAAGAGCGTCAAAGGTCGTGCATGTACATCCTGTACGTAGGCATGTAGATGGCAAGTCCCGGCCGGTCGATCCTGTCTTGTCACCTCAGTTCTAGAAACCGCGGAGCACGGACCTTTACGAAGACAGTTTGAGGGACAAAAGTGGCCCGGAATTTGATGTCAGAACAAATATGGTAGTATGTCCACCATTATGTAATACTATTGGTCGATAGACCAGAATTTGAAATATTCACTTAGCCGCTTTTATTTGTTATTGGAACGACACCAGAGGGCGCTCATGCTAACTACAAGCTTTTGTAAGTTGTTGACTTTACTCGTGGAGCTTGTGCATGGCAGTACAATTGTCGTGACCAGACCTTGACCAGGAATTGTGGCGTGCGCACTGCGCGTGCTGATCTGCGACCGGCTCAGGCATATACACAACATGGTAAGAGAATGGATGGTGTCCAAGTGTTTTTTGCTGATATTATAACTTGCTTACTATTTTTAGTGGCGGGGTATCTGCTAGTATGATATTTATCACAGCAAATTTCCCGGGGGCCCTAGTAGGCAGGCCCTAATAAAAGGGCAATCCGTTTCTAGGCTCTGTATCAGACGGACGTCATATGTCCGAGGCACAAACGAGTCTCAGTGGGCGACGAATTAAGTCATGCTCATGCGCAAAGCTGTTTTGATTCGCTGGCCAAACAGTGTCATCTTCAAGGCAATAAGTACTCCTTGAAAACTCTATGGTGGGCATGACGCTGAGATGCTAATACTTCGTCACACTATCATCTGCCATAGCCGCCCACTTTCTCTCATCGCCTTAGTCCTTGTTTATTTTCAGGCATTCATTTTGAGAGTATCACTAGGTCGTGTATATCGATTGTGTCTGCCACCTGCGATGATTGATACCCGAACAATAATTCTCAGGTGATAATTCCGCAAGCCTTTGATCGACGATACTGATGAGCAACCATAGGCTGAAGTTTGAACATATCTTGTTTGCGATCGATCAATCGAGGTTATGGTGAATCTTTGACCTTACAGGTTCGTATGCACTCCATATGTATGTACTTATTCAATATGCCAATACATCACCAATCCATTTTCATAGAATGGGGATGACGATCAACCCAAATCATTGATCCAGTATATGAGAACATTCAACACTAGTACTACCTCTCAGGTAATATGTAATCATGACACGCCAGGTGAGTCGCGAAGATGGGGTGAGCTCTTGCACAACATCAGTTATAAGGGAACGACCGGGTATCTCATGTGCGAGATCGAGGAGCTGGAGATACATATACTGGTTTTACGACGAGTGCTAGGCTCTAGCAGTGCACCAATGTTCCAAAGAAACCTTGAAATGATGAATATGAACATTGACTACCTAATTAGGAACATTGGTTCAAGTGATCCATCATTCCGCTGCAAAGTTCAGTTACTGTCACGGTCCATGATCTGTATATCCATAACCTGTTCGCGACCGTGAGCATACCCAGCTGTGTGAAGTATTCCAACGTTTCCTTTGACAATTTGCTTTGCTTCTTGTTCACGACCATCACTCCAAGTTGACTGCACGTTTAGACACCACCTTATACCTGGATATCCCCGAAGTTATTCAGTCATTCCAGACAACTTACAAGCCAAACTCAGTTTCGGTGGCCCCCCATATCCCTGCTGATGCCAGCTCCTCGTCCCTCTCTGAGTGCAGAAGCCGCGCGCGCCGCTGCGCTACAGGCTGAGTTTAATGAAAAGAAATGGGTGTGGGTACCAGACGAGAAAGACGGTTATCTCGCTGGCTGGGTACATCAAGAAGATGACGAGACTGCAGAGATTGTTATGTCTTCTGGTAGCGAGGTATCTTCACCCTAATCTCCGTGATGTGCCAATTGCTGACACGAAACGCATCAGATTCGTCGGGTCCCTTTGTATGCACTCTCCAAGATGAACCCTCCCAAGTTCGATCGTGTCGAAGACATCGCAGATCTCACGTTTTTAAACGAAGCGAGCGTCGTGCATAATCTGCGTCTAAGGTATGGATCCGGAGCTATCTATGTGAGTCCTATCCTGTCAGCGATTTCTTGCGCACATTCATGAGCATCCTATCTTGCACGCCTACTAAAACGCACCGAGTAGACATACTCTGGCTTATTCTTGGTTGCTATAAACCCTTACCAGAACCTTCCGCTGTATACAGACGCAATTATATCTCAGTATCGCAGTAAACGACGCGATGAAAACCCTCCTCATATCTTCGCAGTTGCGGAGCGCGCATGGGTTAACATGGGGGAGGAGCGCGAAAATCAGAGCATTCTTATAACGTCGGCCATCCCTACCTTTCGGTGAATCATGCAACTAATTCGCCGTCAACAGGGGAGAATCTGGTGCAGGAAAAACTGAAAGCACGAAGAAAGTTATACAATACCTGTCTGCTATAGCAACTGATGCTCACCCGCGCCATCCTTCACATTCACATTCTGCTTCCATGGCATCTTCATTCCCCGCATCCCCACCTTTGGGTCTGCCCAGAAGAAGCTCTTTCCATACCAAAGCTACTCATGTTGTGTCTAACAGCACTGGAGGTGCCAAGGGTCGTCTAGGCTTGCTCGAGCGACAGATTCTCCAAGCGAATCCCATCCTTGAGGCATTCGGTAACGCGCAGACTCAGCGGAACAACAACTCCAGTAGATTCGGGAAGTTTATCAGGATTAGTTTTTCTCCGGACGGGAGTATATCCGGGGCGAATATTGACTGGTACCTGCTAGAGAAGAGTCGAGTCGTGGTTCGCAGTGCCGCGGAGCGCAACTTTCACGTATTTTACCAGTTACTATCAAGTGGAGGATCATTGAAAGGCAAATCTTTGAAATATCCTCTCCCCACTTGTTTCTGATAATCGTGCTGCTACAGACACTCTTCTGCTGGATCGCCCCTTAGATGAATATGAATTTCTCAACAGAAGCAGGCGAGAGGTTGACGGCATCAACGATCGTGAAGATTGGGACGCTCTGATAGTACGTTTTGTGAATGCGAAGTCTTCGATACTCGACTAATACACTACCAGAATGCTCTCGATATTGTTGGCTTTACGGTCGCCGAACAGTTCGACCTTTTCCGCATCGTCGCGGCAATTCTTCATATTGGCAACATCGACATCCGTTCTACGAAGTCGGATGATGCATTCATGCCAGATCCCTCACAAGCTGAGCGTGTCTGCCATTTGCTCGGCATTCCTATCGCAGAGTTCACAAGAGCTATCTTACGGCCCAGGGTTCTTGCTGGACGTGAGTGGGTCACGCAGGCGAGGACAGGGCAACAGTCTCTTGACGAACTCGCGTCCTTGAGCAAGTCATTGTACGAGAAGTCCTTCGGTGCACTGGTTGAGCGCATCAACCGTGCGCTAGATCGTCCGTCCTCCAAGTCGACGTTCATCGGTGTTCTCGACATCGCAGGCTTCGAGATCTTCGAAATTAACACGTACGAACAATTGCTCATCAACTATACCAACGAGAAACTGCAACAATTTTTTAATCACCATATGTTCGTCCTCGAGCAGGAAGAGTATTCCAGGGAAGGCATAGAATGGGATTACGTAAACTTCAAGCTGGACTTGCAACCGACCATCGACCTCATTGAGAGCAGCGGGAACGCCATTGGCATCCTCAGTTGCTTAGACGAGGAATGTATTATGCCCAAAGCCACTGATCTCACGTTCACAGAGAAAGTCCATTCGATCTGGAGTGGAGATCTGCGCGCAACAGACCATCCTCACCCAGGCCGGACGAAATACACACTACCGAAGTTTGAACAAGGCTTCATCATCACGCATTACGCAGGCAAAGTCGAGTACCGCACCGACGGGTGGTTAGAGAAGAATAAGGATCCCCTCAATGATAATCTCACACGTGTACTGGCATCATCATCGGAACCTTATGTGGCATCGCTTTTCCAAGATTTTGCTGGCGTCTTCGCCGACATGCCCCCATCTTCCAGTGCTGGGTTCTCCGCAGGCAAAAGGCGCACCATCAAGAGAGGAGCATTTAGAACAGTTGCGCAACGGCACAAAGAGCAATTAGCGCTTCTGATGGCGCAGTTGCAGGCGACACAACCACATTTCGTACGTTGTATCGTGCCCAACGTCAACAAGAAACCCGGAAGGGTAGATGTGCCCCTCGTCCTCGATCAATTGCGTTGCAATGGTGTTTTGGAGGGTATTCGCATAGCGCGTCTTGGTTATCCCAATCGGCTTCTTTTCGTCGAGTTCCGCCAGCGCTACGAGATCATGACTCCAGGCATTATTCCTCGTGGATACATGGATGGTCGCAAATCGTGCATCCGTATTGTAGAAGCTTTGGATCTCGATACTGAGTTGTTCCGTGTGGGAACATCCAAGATATTCTTCAAGGCCGGAGTCCTCGCCGATCTCGAGGAGCGGCGAGATGCCCTTCTATTTGACGTCTTTTCGAGGCTACAGGCTGTTGCTAGGAAGTTCTCCGCACGCAGACAGATGAAGAAGGTTCTCAATCGTGCGGTGGCGATACGAACGATCCAGCGTAATGCTCGCGTGTACGGGGAGTTGCGAGATTGGCCATGGTGGCAGCTATACACTAAAGTCAGGTGGTTCTTGTCTATTTCGAGGTAAATTTTTGATCATTTTAAACAGGTCCGTCCGTTACTCGCCGCGACACGAAGTGACGAAGAGCTCAGAAGGAAAGACGTTGAGCTGCAACTTGTAAAGGAGAGAGCGGAGCGCGACCAACGGGAACGGGAAAACCTGGAGAACGTGAAGATGACTCTTCAGGCGGAAAAACGAAAGATCATCGAAGAGTTGGAAGCCGAGCGTGCGCTTACCCTCGACAAAGATGGCATGTTAGACAGAAGCAAAAAGAGGGAAGCAGAACTTGAAGAAGAGATCGTTGCCTTACACGCCGACCTCGACGTCCTCGATTCGCAACTGGACCGTGCCCTGCAACTTCAGAAGGAGGGCGATGAGAAACATGAAACTTTACGCGTCGCGTTCGACCAGGCTGCAGAGCATCTTGTCCGCATGGAGGGTCAACAAAATGAATGGCGAGCTAAAGAGGCGGAACTTTCGGACATTGTATTAACCCAGGAGAGCAGCATGGTTCAGCTGCAGCAGGAACACCAAGCTCTCCAGAAAGCCAATGAGGACCTCGGAGCCCTTGTTTCGCAGCACGACGAAGATTTGGCGCGTGTCAAGGAGCGTTCTGAAGCTTTAGTGAGCGACTTGCAGGCCAAGCTCGGTGTGGAAATCCAATCTAAGTGAGCCCCAAAAACTTACCGTGATCTTTGGTCTGATGTTTCACGCAGAGAGTCGCTCAGCAGCAAGGTCGACCAACTGGAAAGAAGCTTGAGTTACCTCAAACAGCAGCTAACAGAGATGACTCGTACATCTGCTGAGTATTCTGCTATGATCCAGAACAAAGAGGACCAAAATTCACAGCTGCTTTCGACCATCACCGCATCCGCCGACGAGCATTCTCGACTGCAAAAAGAGATTGTCGAACTCCACGCTGCATCTGACAGACAGCGAGCGGAGATCCATGCTTCCAGGGCCAATGTAGATCGTGCAGTATCCGCCAAGATAAAACTGCAGAGCGAGCTGGATGAACTCCGCACAATCATGGAGACCAAGACCTCCGAAGACGCCCGCCGGCTCGAAGTCGAGAAAAGTAAAGAGGAAGAGCTTACCGAACTTCGCTCTCAGTCTTCCCAGTTACACGCAGAACTCAGCATTTTACGGGAAAACGCTCTCGACAAGGAAAGCAAGCTCGCTACCGAGCTAGACGAGATGCGTCGTCAGCACAAGCAGCTAGATTCAGCTCACAGCTCTCTTTTGGACCGCGAGCGAGGCTTGAAGGAACGGACGTCAAAGCTCGAGGCAATAGTTGTGGATCTCGAAAAAGCCAAAAGAGTGGTTGAATCAGAATTGCAGGCATTGCGATCCCGTCAGATTGACTCGGATGGTCGGTTAGCAGAGACATTGAGGGCGAAAGAGGTAATTGGGCAACTATTTGCATTTGTTGGACTGGGTGGATCTTACTCATACTTTATTAGATCCTGGAACGACAACTCCACGCTGCTCAGACGAAATATAATGAGATCGAGGATACGATTTTGCAGATGGAAAGAGATGCTCACGCTGGCGAACGTCAGTTGGAAACCTTGAAGAAACAACTGGAATCCGAATCAGCCAAGTGCAAGAACCTTCAACACGTCATGTTAACTCAGAAAAAGGAGTACCAAGAACGTATTGCGAAGTACGACCATGATCTTAACAAGGCAATCACTGATCTCAAGAATCGGGAGTGGGAGCTCAAACAAATGGAGAGCAAACAGGATAAGACGATTGTCGAACACGTTTACGTTCTGGAGAAGGCCAAGAAAGTAACCGATCAGCAACTGAGAGAGGCGCAAGAGCAGCTGCAGAAGGATGCCGTCTACATTCGATCTTTGGAGAAAGCCAAGGCAAGCCTCACCCGGGAGGTAGAAGATTTCGCCAGGGGAGGTGGGGTGGATCAGGCAGAGCGTAGGGCCTCGGAAAGGGCTATCAAGTTCCTTGAGGAGAAGGCTAACAAAGCACTCGCCAGCGCAGAAGCAAAGGCTAAAACAGAACGTGCTGAATCTTCTGGTAAATTTTGGACTCCAACACCCTAAACAATACTGACCCTCAAGATAGTCCGACGCGCCCTCGCTGACTTGGAAAAGACTCATAATGATTTGGTGACAGAGAAGAGGACACTCGAAGAGCGTTTCCAAGACACTCAGCGGAGGCTCCATGAATTGGAGGTTCAGATCGAGGCCGAAGATAGAGAATCTTCTGAGTTGGGCATTCACAGGCACCGTCTAGTACAACAACTGCAAGATGAACGTCAGCAGCATCAGAAAGACCTCGCAGAGCGTGATTTCGCCAGCGACCAGACCCGAAAAAAATATCAAGGTTGGTGACAGCTTTCATAAGAGATCCTTTCTAATGACAAGCTGCAGCTGAACTAGCCCAGTTGAGCGAAGGTGCGTAACTAGGAAACTCTGGGTGTACCTCACCGAATAACATTTATTCTAGAAATGCAAGCGCAGCGAGATGCGATGACGAGGCTACGAGAAGATAATCGCAAAATACATTCAGACTACGACGAGCTGCAGCTAAGATTTGATGACGAGGTCTACAATGGAGGCGCCTGGAACAGGGAGAAAGAGCGGATGGAGACGAAGATCGCCGATCTAACCAAAGCTTTTGAGTCATCGACTACTGCTCAATCCGACCAACAAGCGCAGATCGTGTCACTTCACTCGCAAGTTCGGGAGCTTCGAAGCGTTCTCAATGACGCTGAAGCGGACAGGGCAATGCTACAAAAGGCACGCCGCTCTTTGCAGGCGGAACTTGAAGGCATCAAGCTTGACCATGTCGATGCAACGAAAATGACTTCGGATCGAGAACTACAAAAGCTACAGCTGGAGAAACAAGATCTTGAGCGATCTCTGGAGGAACAAAAAGATCGTGTAGTTATGGCCTTTGACCGCTTGAAGAGAGCCGAGGCACATGCCAATGAAAGCCAGCTGGAACTTGACCGGACCCGCGTTGAGAATACTGAACTGGACAGAATAAATGTAAGTACCTGAAAAATGATCTTCAGTGTGCTCACTCTGTCCTACAGGCACAGCTAGAGAAGCAGGTCAAAGACCTAAACGTCCGCGTGGTTGACCTTGAAACGAAGTCATATGCAAATTCTCCTCACCCATCCTCCACTGTCAGGCAGCTGCAGGGCCGTATCGATGAACTCACTACTCAACTCAAGCAAGTATCACGCGAGAAAGTCGACTCCAACCGCTTGCATAGTTCTGATAAGGCAATTCGCGACATACAACTACAGTTAGCTGAAAGCGAAAGGCACCATATCAAATTGGAGGAGGAGCGAAAAATATCCGAGGGTCAAATAATTTCACTCCGACAGACACTGGACAAAGTTGTCAGTCTTACCTCTTCATTGATCATCTAGTTACTTGGCTAATTCCAGTTCACATCAATAGCAATCAAGGGAGAGTGAACTTGAGCGCGTGAAACGTCGCCTAGAGCGAGAGGCCATGGACTCCAAGCAGGCGATGCTGAAGTGAGTTTAACTCAAAGATTTTGACAAGTTGAGATTAGGACGTTTACGTGTTACTTTCTAGCCTGCAACGTGAAGTTGAACGACTGCGCGCACGCCTTAATCGGCCGATGTCAGTCGTTAGTGACGGAGGCTCCACCCCTGCAAGCTCGGGGTCTCCTCGCAAGGCGGCTCCATAGCATTAGCTAGTATTCAAATGTTCGTCATTAATTTATGATATAGTCACATCTGAGTTACTGTATATTCCATCTCAACACCATGCACATATGTATCTTATAGTAATCAACTCGACGGGTGTATGACTGCTCAGCAAAACATCAAGTTATTAATTGTTTTCGTCCCAGAGGGAACTCTCGGAAACTTGCGAATAACTATCAAAATAAGGTTCAGCCACCGCGTTCCACCAAGATAGTTGGAAATCATTAGATATGGTAAGCAAGACTTCAAGACTCAGTACTCCGTCATGGTGCGCTCACGTCCGCTGGCCATTTGGCTCTCTTAGTCTCATTGCTTATGTGAATATTAGCCCAAGGAAATTCGGGATATCAAGCAGTTCATCGAGATTGCGCGGCGGAAGGATGCTTCCCGTGCGTTTATACTGTTGTTGTACTTCGACAACACGCTGACTTCACGCGCACTAATCTTGTACGAAATTTTATCCATGTGTTATGTATTCAGAGGCCCGTATCAAAAAAATCGCCGCAAAATCAGCAGCTGGGAAGGTCCAGACTAAATTCAAAGTGCGGTGTTCACGATACTTGTACACTCTTTCTGTGGACGACCCAGAGAAGGCTGAAAAGCTCAAGCAGAGCTTGCCTCCAGGTGCGTGATCAGATCAGTCTTAGTGCGTTTCATTGCCTGATATATGGACGCAGGTTTGAGTGTGGTAGAACTCGGGGCAACACCGAAGAAGAAGTGAACCCCTTCTCCATCTCACACTGTAGTATGATTCATGCGTCGCAATGGAGGGGCACCGATCGACTTGTGCATCACCACCCTATGATGAATATGCATGCAAGTCACATGTAGTCTTATTATGAACAAAGACAGATAGCTTTCGCCTTGCTTGACTTATACAGCCTTTGATTCATACAATCATCCATTCTATAATACCAAGCATGACGCACGACCCCAAAAGCGTGCATGTACCGATCAATACGAAGGTTCGAAGTACCTGCTGCACTCTCCTTTCATATGAACGACTTCCACGTGTCCTCAGTGCCTCGATGTCGATCATGGTCGAAGGAGTATGAGACCATTTAGTGAAGACGATTTCCAGCAAAATTATTAGCAGTTGAGATCCATCCAATGCGGGCAGGGGCAGCGAGTTGAAAAGATATAATGATAGATTTGTGAGCTTCAGGTACCTGCCCAGAGTCAGCCATATGGTAGTTGTTAGTCTAAGTAACGTACTGGAAGAAATCTGCAAATACGAGGGGTAGTCCTAGGGGTATAATGCCAAAACGCGGTGCGAGATGCGTTGTTTGAACTGATAACAGTGAACATCAACCACCACGCATGCTTGAATTCGTGTGTCATACCTTGCTCCCAAACTTCGTACCTGGGGCCACTCCAGAGCACGATGCGCTCATCTTCGGTGCCTGCCCCTTCGTTATTCACTGTAATCCGTAAGATATCTCGGTCTTCCCTCGGTTTGATGCACGACTGCGATTCCAGACACGACGTCGAGGAGTCGCATCTGTTTTGCATTTTTGACAGTATGGGTACCGGATCGGTACAATACTCTTCAATCGTACTTTCAAATGACACAAAACAGGATGATGATGTACTACTGTCAGTATCCACACAACACTGATGATCATCTAAGGAGGCGCTAAGTCAGGCAGGATGACGCAGGTACCATGCTCACCATTAAGCCGCGAAACATCCACACACCACCCCTGCTTATAGACGGCTGGATTAGGTTCCAATAGATAAGTGGACCACGCATCGCGAGATGAGTGCAACGGAAGATCGTCAAGTGTCGTCAGGAAAGATCCAACAGGAAGATGCATGCTCAGAGGGGAATCCTACAGAAATTTAGTAAAGGTAGTAAGGTGATAGTCTTAGGACCATACTGACGGCTTCGACATGGGCCACAATTAGCCCTCTGGTAAAAACATCTTCATAACCTACCAACAGTATTCGTTGTCCAATACCAGACCAGCCCGCAGCCAGTAGAATCAGCCAGAGCGTCAGGTTATGAAAACACCCCGAAGTTACAACCCGTAAGCGATCGAGTGAGGACAACTCCTCGACCCTTGCAGAAGGCAACGTCACGAATGCGGCGGGGAACATGAAAGTCATAGATGCTCCTGCCGCCAGCATAGGGATCCGATGACTAGGAAAAACACGAAGTTGTGGCTAATGGACTATGTCATATTGTGAGGGGAGACATACATTGCTGCAGTGATAGCATGCCCACTTTCATGCATGATTTGACTGATGCAAAGGGAGAGTAGAATCAGCGGTAGGTGTTTTAATGGAACGGTCAAGCCAGGGATCTACGTGCAATGAAGTGAGTGCTCGAGGTATTTAAACTAGTTACTGGAAGTGATCCACGTATATGCATTGCATTTAACTCACAATTGGATTGACAGCATGCGTGACTCTAGAATATGTCGTTGCGCGAGTCGTGACTTCGACAGCTCTCTTCAACAACGACGCTGAAGTATCTGGCGCAGTCACTCGCAGGAAAGTGGAAGAAAGGAGTGACACCATAGTCCATACGAGCAGAGCAACAGCAGTGAACATTCCAAAGATAACCAGTACGCTGCCAGTATTATAGAACATGAGCAAAAACTTTCTTGTCCGCAGGTAGTTTCTACTGGCCAAACGTAAAGAAATGGTGTCATGATGAACATTGAATGCTCGTGTCTGTACGCGAAGGTGAAAGAGACTCCTTGGGATGGAGGCAGCGAGCGATTTGATCCTCTTTAACTGAATTCTGTGGAGGTGCATGGTGGTTCGCTCGAAGTGGCATGGTATGATTTCGTATACGTACATAATCGGACTCTGAGCCGGGGCATAGCACAGCGCGGTGTGTCTCTCTTCTCACCAACGACCATGAAGATCTTCTCCCTCTCAGTTGTTCTCGCACCTTCCTCAGGCCCTTGTTCAGTTCTCAGCTCTACCTCAGATGTCTCTAGTTTCTCGTTCTACCAGAGAAGTTCTGTCAGCGAGTTTTTGACATTCTTCACCAAGACAGTCGTAGAGAGAACTCCTCAGGGCCAGCGTCAGAGTGTACAAGAGAACAATTACACTGCCCATGTGTACAACAGGAGTGGTGCAGAGCAACTTGCAGGTGGGTCGAAGCTCTGGATGTAATGGAGCCATCGAACTCACTCCTTCCTCAGCTATTATTATTACTGATCATGAATACCCCGTTCGACCCGCCTTTTCTCTTCTAACAAAGCTACTTGATGACTTCACTGCCAAAGTCCCTCAATCTGCCTTCGGAAACCCAGGATCAATATCATTCCCAGAGATCCAGACCTACATTCAGAAGTACCAGGATCCTCGGCAAGCTGATACAATCATGCGGGTACAGCAGGAGCTAGATGAGACGAAGATTGTCCTGGTAAGCCCTCCCCTCATTATGATAATCACTCGATTGTTTTATCGGTGTGACGGTGTATTGTAGCACAAGACCATCGAGTCTGTTCTCCAACGCGGGGAGAGGTTGGATAACCTTGTAGAGCGATCGAATGCTCTATCCGCACAGAGCAAGATGTTCTACAAGACAGCTAAGAAGGTCAGTGGCTGTCTTTTATGTTTGGGTGACTCGGTCTGACAGCCTCACTAGCAAAATTCATGTTGTGTGATCATGTAGACGACTATTCTTCTCTCATTCATGCTTTTTCTTTGTTGCGGTTGTTGTTACGTCGGACCAGGTAATTGGTAACACATCCGTTAGTTCTGTATTTCACATGTCGTGATCGTGTCAGTGTGGCCAGTCTGTTGCGTGTCATTGAGCAAGTCAATGAACTGATACCACAGCCTGGATATGTTGTGAATAAGTCTAGGTTGGGACAATACAGCATGCAAATTCAAGCCAAAAATGACATCGCTGAAAACATAGTATCCACGCCAGTCACGATATGCATTAAGAGGGAATCGAACCCCCGGCGGGTCGATGGCAACGACCCAGGTTACCACTACCCCATTAATGCTTGGGAGAGATCGGTGTATTTAGCTTTATTTACTATTCACTACGTGGCACTGGTAAATATCTGTCCTCAGGCCACACGAATAATCGGATCACTCAAGTCGTACGATCGGTTATCGTTTTCCTCGATCCCGAGTAATTTGCCATTGGCATATAAAGCCAGCGTGGCCATGGTGCTTGCTTCACATTTTTCATCCATATCTACATTTTCATCCTCCACCACCAGATCATCCTTCCTGTAAAATGGTATGTTCCCATCTCATATACATCAGCGTTAATCACTCAAAACTTTACAGCCTGCTCACGAAGCTGTAATTGTTGCTGCGTCCCGTACACCTGTCGGATCCTTGTATGGATCACTCAAGACTTTGACTGCTCCCCAACTTGGCGCTGTGGCTCTCAAGCATGCTTTCGAGCAGTCAAAAGTTGATCCCTCAGTAGTCGAGGAGATCTACTTCGGCAATGTCGTCCAGGCTGGTGTTGGTCAATCACCCGCACGTCAAGTAGCACTCGCTGGTGGCATGAAGTCCGCATCTGACGCCACGACCATCAACAAAGTCTGTGCTAGCGGTATGAAGTGTATCATGCTTGCTGCCCAGAGCATAGAATCCGGTTACAAGACCGTGGTTGCTGCTGGTGGTATGGAGAGTATGAGCAACGCTCCGTGAGTACTACAGTCCCGATTACCACTTTGCACAAGATTTACGGCAACATGTTATTTAGTTACCTGCTTCCCCGCACAAACCCTTTGTTCGGCAAATTCGAGACCAGGGACTCCGTTGAAAACGATGGTCTCTGGGACGTCTCCAACAACTTCGCCATGGGCAACTGTGCCGAGGCTGTCGCAGAGAAGTACGAAATCAGCCGAGAGTCACTCGATGAGCATGCAATCGAATCATACAAACGTTCTGATCGCGCATGGAAAGCGGGCGCTTTCAGCGCTGAGATAGCTCCCGTCACGATCAAGGGCAAGAAAGGTGATATCGTGGTCAAGGAAGATGAGGAGTACAAGAAAGTCATCTTCGAGAAGGTTCCCTCTCTCAAGTCAGCATTCAAAGCAGGCGGTCGCATCACTGCTGCCAACTCTTCAAACCTCAATGATGGCGCCTCTGCTCTGATATTGATGTCAGCAGAGAAGGCACAGGAGCTCGGCGTAAAACCACTCGCCAAAGTGATTTGTAAGTTTGACTTCTTGTGTGGCTGTACATCGTCTGATATATCTTTATCTGCAGCATATGCAGATGCGGGTGTTGAACCCATCGACTTCCCCATGGCTCCTGCTGTCGCTCTCCCAGAAGCACTTAAGAGAGCAAACCTGACTGTCGATGACATCGCACGTTTCGAGGTCAACGAAGCCTTCTCGGTTGTCGTCCGTGTTGCTGAAAAGCTCCTACAACTTGATCCTGCAAAGGTCAACATCGACGGGTGAGTTATTCTACTTTGCGTTCAGGGGTTTATGTTTGCTAACGAGATCCAACAGTGGCGCTGTTTCACTTGGTCACGCTATCGGAAACTCGGGCTCTCGTATCGTGGTGTCCCTCGTCCACGCTCTAAAATCTGGCGAGTACGGCGCAGCAGGCATCTGTAATGGGGTAAGTGATTTATAACTATATATGATGTCGCATTGCTCAAACGATGCCTTGTCTAGGGCGGAGCTGCTTCTGCCATTGTCATTCAAAAACTATAATTGTTGTACCGCTTTTATACATTGTTGGTTTCTACGAACAGCCCATCTACACTATTGTATCTGTATTTTCCCAATAGAACACGACAAGCTTTGCATAATACTGGATTGCTGTGAGAACCTCGAACAAAAATACATTTATCTACAGAGAAGTCACGTCGAGGAAGTTCGCTGCATTGTTCGAGACTCTGGACCCTTCTTGCGCTTGTTTCTTGGCACCTCGATCAAACTGTCGTTTCAGATTACGACGCTGGTCATCATTGGTTCTCATTATGACATGATACGGGTATCTCCCCTGTCATTTTTGGAGCCCAGCACACAGAAGCTATCATGTTGTACCTGGTGGGATGATGCATTGACAAAAATTCAGCGAAGAGTAAGTATACAGACAGCGCTTACGGAGCTCGCAACTTCTGGCCTTCCGCCTTCCTAGTCTGCTTCCGACCCGTGCTGCGGCGTTGAGCCTCGCTCGTCGGCACCGCGCAAAGTACCCGAGAGTCGGTTTCGTGGTGTAGGTCGTAAAGCTTTGGATGATCGCGGCCCTGCACTGGTAGTAGCAGCTCCACGGCCCGCTGCCGTACGCCTGCATCACGTTATTCGACATGTGCAACGACTTGACGTCATCCATACCAGGCCTCATGGCAAGCGCTATTCGCTTCAGTGTTTCGATGAAGACGACAGCTAGCCGTATCATACTATCTCGCAGGGTCGATAGCCTATACTCGATCGGTCATATCATTGCAAAAATAGCTCGACGTCAACGTTCATGGCGGCGGGGTGACGTTTTCGGTTGACACCAAAAACCTGCTACATGGACCCGTATGACACCCTGTTAATACATTTGGCGGTTCGACCCGTCCGAGTCTATACCTCAAAAAGACGCAATCAATTGATGCCATCAACGGACGAATACGAGTCCTTGATACCGCACCGGCGCGGGGTGAATGAGCGTGGCATAAGCGCAAATAATAACTGCATCAGCGCCGTAAATTCGAATCATCTGTATGGGCGGAGAAGAACAGAACCACGTAGACTAGCCCAGAACCAGCCTATTATCAACCCGGAATGCAACAAAAAGGTAAGTTATACATAGATATCAGAAATGGTGACGTACATTCGATCCGATTCGTATCCGTGCACGCGAAATTCTACGTTGCATCGGTCGCGCACGAACCTATTCGGCGTATAGGCGACATGAGCAACATGCTAGTCGCCTCGCCTTAGTACACTACTATGTAGTGGCGCAATTGAACCTGATCATTCGGGCACGATACACCGTGATTGACGTACTAGTGCTATGGAATCGACACGTCCTTTATATACCCATCGATAAACCGAAGCACGACCCAGGCGTGCACCAGGTGCACACTCAGGTTAGGTTCATAATGGGGGCTAGGAGTGAAAATGAAAGATGACCCTGCCAAAACGAGGCAGAGCGCAGAAAACGCACACCCACCAAGGATGCAGTGAGACTTTGAAATTTGCATCGAACAGTTTCTTACTACGGGTTACGGTGCATATACATTGGAAATTCGTCGAGGCAAAAACTTTAATTCTCCGAGTAAGGCTATGCGAAGCACAAGCAGCTGATCAGGGGTTTCTGCACTGCATATTCCTCCAAAGTTGCAATAAGAAGTATGCATAATATTATCATCGCCACGTCGATGCTAGTGCCAATTGTAACAATGAAAGCTTCAATACAAGCTTGGAGGCCCAAAAACAACGACAACAACGACAACAACAAGAAAAAAACAAATGAGCGTAACGAGCGTACGAAGACTACGAGGAGACGTAGTCCGCGTCCATCTCCATGGCACGTACCGTTGTAATTAAAAATATCAGTCCATCTGGATCAATCTTGGTACCATCTACGCCAACAAGTCACCATCACCTGCAGAGTTTCCACATCTTCACATAATCACTATTCCAAACCACATCAGATCCAAGCCAAAAAAAAAAGGAAAAAAAAACTCACATCCTAAACGCACGCTGATCCGGATTCGGAGGCCACGTAGCGGTCCACTGTTCGTACTTACTTGCGAAATCGCGCATCGCAGCTACATCGCGTCAAAATGAGCCCTGCCCAAAGCAAAAACAAAACAAAAAACATACTAGCAGATCCATCATACCACGGCTTCCCACCTACACTATCTGGGAACCACCCACTCGTCCCGCCAACCGCCAGATCGATCACAAGATAGAATTCTGTCCATGATCGGTCTTAGCATCAAATTCCAAGCTTTTCAAAAAAAACTGACCCTGATCAAAAGGGGCAGCAGCACTCCCCCCATATGCCGTACTCCACGGATCTGCGACGACCACTTCCTTTCCACTCGACGCGTTCATAGCTACACCTGGGAATCCACCTGTATTGAAGAAATAGGAATCGGAGGATTTGGAGGATATTTTTAGGTTGATCATTGCCTATTGTGGGTTCGATTAGTTCGGGTGACAAGACGGGTGGACGGGTAAGTAGAACGGGACGGGTACGGGAAGGGGATGACCGAGGGACAGCAAAATGCCATCAAAAAACGGACAAGACCGCGGGATATAGCAAACCGAGAACAGGAACGAAAAAGAAGAGAATTGTAGGGAACGGAGACGATAAACCCACCTGCAGCCGATCATCCGTATAAAACCTCATCCACTCGCTGGTCCACTCAAACGCATAAACGTGGAATCCGTCGGCAAAATTCCCGCGTTTGGTGCTTACCCAGCCGTAGATGCTCTTCAGGAGGTTGGCGGTGGTGCTTGTGCCTGCCAGTGTGTGTTAGGGGGTGAAAACAACGTGGCTGAACAAAAACGATGAAATATACGTAAAGGCCAATTGAAGTCGAAAAAGACAAGTTGGTGAACCGAGAAACGCCAATCGAAAGCCAAAAATACAAAAGCACGAATGAACCGAAAAGAACTCCGCCCCAAGCGCAAAACCAGGAATAAACGCTCACCGGTAGAGATAGGCGTAGAGCCACCCGCAAACGGCCCATAATTCAGGGACGAGCGGACATAGTTCGAACCTTGAGCGGGATATGAAGGAAGGTTGCCGCGGGCTTCCATGATCTGTGGGTGGTATTAACAGGGGTGCCGGCAGAGGAAAAGGTGAGACTTACATCGATCTCGCCGCTGAGGGGCCACGCGCCATAAAATCCCTCTCCCTGACCTGCGCTTGAGCTTGTACTGTTACCCTGAGGAAGCATCCAAATAGCGGGCCACAACCAGTCTCCCTGAGGCAGTTTTGCGCGGACCTGGCATCTGAAATTAGCAGGCTAAAAGATTAGAGACACAGCAAACGTACCTCGACACGGCCATACTTGATAGTCTGTTTTCCACGGGTATTAAGACGACCGCTCATGACAGGGTTGATGATAGTGCCGCTCTGGTTATTTGAAACAGCTGTGCATGGGTTGCTAGAGGTGGAGGTGGAATTACTGCTGGTAGTAGAATTGCTTGAACCGGTGGTCGTGGAATTACCCGAGCCTGTTGTTGTGGAGTTACCGTAGCCAGACGTTGTAGAGTTGCCTGATCCAGTAGTAGTGGAGTTGCCCGAGGTGGTAGTTGAATTGTAATTGCCTGAATGGAAGTGAGTGAGGGGGCGTGGGAGTTGTAGTTTGTTACACACCCGTGTCGTTGTTTTGCCGACGAAGAACCCACGCGCCTTGATCTATGACTACACGGAATCAATGAGCCTCGGAAATGAGTAGGAGGCTAAAACATACCTCCGCCTTGAGCTGTACAGTCTTGAAGTGGATAGGTCGCTCCACTCATGACTGAATCCCAGCCACCGTCGATGGAGTCACTCGTGAGTGTGGGCATGATGTAGAGTTGTCCATTTGAGATGTAGACGTTGGAGGGATTGTCGGTTGTCATTTCAAATTCACCGTTGCTAATGAAAAGTTAGACAGGGATTGTGGTGTTTAGTGGGACGTACCCGAAACCACCGAGCTCGATGTCATAACTCCAGTTATTGGGGTCGATAGAACTGTCAAAGTCGTCTTGCATGACGAGACAGAGTTGACTGTCTGAGAGGAGGTCTACGGATTGCCAACCTCTGAAGCAGAGTGCTGCTGCTACAAGGACGCCCAAGAGGGCAGCCACAAAGGTGAGCCACCAGCTTCCTGATTCGCAACGACGTTTCTTTGTGAGCCATGGTTTCTCGTCTTTGGTGAGTTTTGATTTGAGGCGGGTTGATTGGATTGGTTTCTTCTGTGTGAGGGGGAGTGCGATGACAGAAGGATTAGCGGATACGGGTGGAGGGGACCATATGGTTGATGGACGTGAAGCGGGGGATAGGAAAGGTGATCTGAAAATTGTTGTCGCGCTGCTTGCTCTTGGGAGTTGTAAATCTGGTGAGCGATGTAAGTTTGCCAAAGAGTAAGAGCGGTTGAATGATTTGTAGGGGGATTCTGCTGATGGAAGACGTGGTGTCTCGAAAAAGCTGCCGTCGAGAGACCTTCTTGCGGGGTCAGCGAAGGGGAAGGTGAAGGCGGAAGGGGGAGGGTCTTGACGTCGTTTGCTTATTCTTGGTCTTGGTGAGTCTGGAGAGTCTTCCTGTGATGAATGGTCATCTGAACTTGAAGGAGTGAGAAAGAAAGGACGGGGTGAAGCCATGAGGGCAAGGTTGGGTAACCCTTCTCTGTTTCTCTTTGAAGGACCTTTCTTATCTTGTAACACGTAATTGCCGTATGACGCGTGTGTAACGTACACCGAACCAGATTCAGAGATCCAAGATCTGATCTCACCATTTATATTCCACCGCTCTCTCCCCAAACTCACTCACCCAACTCATGGACTACGACAGATACGACGCTACTCTCCATTACATCTTCAAACAAACTCAAGGTGACGCTTGGTTTAGACCACATGAAGATTCAGTCCCTCCAGGCGTTTGTCTTCGTACCCATGACGGTCAATTCAGAGTATTCCCATACGAAACTGCCGCACTCGCTCCATTCGAGGCTGCTGTAGCTGCTCTCAATCCTCTCGTTGCAGTAAAAGTCAGAAGTGCTGCAGTACACGCTGCTTTAGCAGAACAAGCTATCGACGATTGCATCTATGTCGACTCAAATACTCGCATTCAAGTACTCGAGTCAATGTACCTCCTTCCACAAGCAGAAAAGGATCAAAACGCTGCTTTCATTCGCGATGAACGCGTGCTCGTCGTTTGGAGCGACTCTCTCGATACAATCATCCCAATCGCACGTGACTTTGAAGATCGTCTCATTCGTCTACTCTGGCGCACGAGACCACCTCTACCTTCAACACACGAACCCTCCATATACTCTGAAAAACCAGCAGATCCCCGTCTAACCCCTTCCTCCACCGTAAACTCAGATTCACAAAGACGAACATGGTTCGGTCGTGTCCTTCCTTCACAACAAGACCCAGAAAAGATCGAACAAAAACAACCAACCCGTCCAATCATGCTATATGCTCCGCTATACAATGGTCTATGCGCTGCACTCGCTTTCAGTAAGTCACAATACCCTCTTGGTTGTCTTTCCCTCACCTTCTCTAGTTTTCATCGGCAACGGCGTTCGCACTCTCCTTACAGAATTTCGCCTAGACGGCAACTACACTCATTTTGCTCTTGGCGCCCTAGTGCCACTCCTCTTTTGTGTATCCTTGGTAACTATTCCCTTTATATCATATACCCCCCGCTTACTCTTTCCAGTTCTTCACTCTTCAAATATTCCAAACACTCACATTTGCAGTCGGTCCCATCGCTCATTACCACCAAAACAGTCGTTACTACTCGGCAGTCCCTCCACTGCCAAATCCTGCCATAGACAATGCACTCCCTCACATCACAATACAGATGCCCGTCTACAAAGAAAGCCTCGCTACAGTCCTGTAAGTCTCTTCTTTGTTGGCTGATCCTCGCTAATCCATCCCAGCACACCCTCCCTCACATCCATCAAAACAGCAATGCAGACATACGCACGTCAAGGCGGCACATCCAGCCTCTTCATCAACGACGATGGCCTTCGTCTCCTCCCCCCTGATCAGGCAAAGGAACGTATCGAGTACTACGCAAACCACGGGATCGGCTGGATCGCAAGACCACGACACGGACACGAAGGTCACTTTCATTCTCCCTCTAGCCCGTCAACGCTAACATAAACACACACAGGCTTTACGCGCGCAGGCCGCTTCAAAAAAGCCTCCAACATGAACTACGCACTCGACGTCTCCCTCCGCCTTGAACGCATCCTCGAGGAACTTCAATCATCTCACAACTCCCTTGAACAATACCCTTACAATCGCCAAAACCAAATCCCCAGCTCAAGCAGAGATAGCAACATATTCACGCCTCCCAACCCACCCTTTCACCGTGCCAGCGTTAGCACCACATACAGTGCTCAAACTGTCCAAACAGAGGGCGGGAGCATCGTTAGCGTGCCTGGACAGTCTCCTGGGACGTACGGGGTCCAGTATATCGGCAAGGACGGGGACGATCAGGCGTTCATCACTCCTTTTCTCAGTAGCAACAGCAATGGCAGCATGCCTGGGACGCCTAGACCCGGTATGACGGGGAGTCCGCGGACTATCAGTCCTGAACCACCCACACTCGCAGGAACGCATATCGAAGACATCGAAGAGCGGGCTCTTCAACTAGCCATGGAAGAAGGTACATCTTCCATTAGTCTCGTTTTGACCAATTACGTTAACTCGAAACAGTATTCCAAATCACAGGACACAGACCATGGGCAGCAAACTCCCGTGCCTGTCGAATTGGAAGCATCATCTTATTAGTAGACGCAGATACGATCGTCCCGGTGGATTGTTTTAGGGATGCAGCGAGAGAGTTTGCGGAGGACGAAGGCGCTGAGGTTGGGGTTCTCCAGCATGAGAGCGGTACGTCTCCTTCCCCTGTCCCCTCCGCTCGCTAACCTAAACCCAAATCCAGACGTCCTTCAAGTAGCCCACCACTACTTTGAAAACGCCATCGCCTTTTTCACCCGCCGAATCAACAAATGCATAAGTATGATGTGCGCAAACGGGGAAGTGGCGCCTTTTGTAGGGCATAATGCGTTTTTGAGGTGGACGGCGTTGCAGGATGCGGCATTAAGTGGGGGGGATGCGTCTTCTACTCATGATTCTGGTGCGGACAAAAACAGAGCCCAAGTCAAGATCTGGAGCGAGGATAACGTCAGTGAAGATTTCGATATGGCGTTGAGGCTTATAAGACAGGGGTATATCGTTAGGTTCGTCCTGTTCCCTCTCGAGGTGGTTGTCACTCACGTTGACTCTTAGATGGGCGACCTACTCCCAAGGCGGTTTCAAAGAAGGTGTATCGCTCACTGTCGATGATGAGTTGAATAGGTGGCAGAAGTATGCGTATGGGTGTAATGAGTGCGCTTTTTTCTTTCCGTGCGCGTTTGATATTTCCGATTCACGGCTCGCACAGGCTCCTCTTCAACCCCTTCGTCAAATGGTTCTACAAGGGCCCCATCAACCACCAGATCCACAAATTCATGTGGAGTCCTGCACCGCTCCATTACAAGATCTCGATGATGGCTTGTACGTCCCCCTCCTCCTTCTCAATTCTCATACTGACTCCATCACAAATAGACATGTTCTCATACTGTACGTTCCCTCTGACGTATAAAACAAAACAAAACACTAACTTGAAACAGACGGAATAGCGGCCTCAGCGACCATCTCCGTAATCAACTACGTTATGCTTGGTTTCCAATTCCCCACAGACGATTTCTACATGCACAGTTTCGAAATATGGCTCGCCACTTTTGTTGTATTTTTCGGAGCTGGTAATGTAGGGTATGTGCTTTTGCGGTACAGACTCGGAGAGAGTGGTATCGTAGGCGGCGCGATCGAGTGTTTTGGGTGGATTCCGTTCTTGTGAGTCTCGTCCCTATTCGTATCCTATTTCGTGAACTGACGGCAAATACAGCTTTTTCTTCTTCGGTGGACTAAGCATCCCGGTCTCACAAGCCATTCTCGCTCATTTGTTCTCGTACAATATCACGTGGAGCGCAACAAAGAAGGAGGTCGAGAGGTCGAATTTCTTCAAGGAGGTTCCAAAGATTTTCAGGAGGTGCGTTTCTTTCTTTCTTTTTTACTTTGATTTGCGTTTTATTTCCCCATATTTTTGCGTTGCTTCTGTTTTGGATTGGAGTCCGGACGCGTTTCCGCATCACTTGATTGGACGCGTCCGTATCACTTGACCAACGCGTTGCGTTGGCGCCCACTTTTTGTTCCGCCGAACGTACGGCATCAGTGAATTCAGGCGTTATCTCCGTGATTGGCAATGATTATCTAGGAAATATTGGCCTCGGCACATGTGCCTGGGCGTCGCATATATGGTGCTGGGACGGACATGGCTGGCACACTGCTACTGTAGTGCTGGACACGGGCATGTGTGTTTTTTCTGATGATCGGAGGACATGCGTTTGCGGTCTTGCACCCGCTGCAATGTGGTGCGCCCATATGCACGACTCACGCTTCGTGAAGCGGTCATTTCGATCGTCTTCGACTCATCACCGCACCCTATTCACTCAAGGCCTTGCCCCCTTGTTGCCTCGTTTCACGTGGTGCGATATTCGCACTTTCTCTTCTCTTCTTTTTTCCACGCCTTTCCCTTTCTTGCTTCCTTGATATCACAATCCAGTGCTGACGGACATCATTGGCCTCCTCTCCTCTATATAGATTTTGGTTCCCCCTCCTTGTATGTATCCTGCTGATTGCGGGTGTCGTCATCGTCAGTACGCCGTTGGTGCCATATCAGTGGCAACTGACCGCAAATGCGTGGGCCGTTATCTTCCCGTTGACGGTTGTATGCGCTTGTCATATCTTATTCCCGGTACGTCTCGTTAACCTTGTCTTCCATTCTGCGATTGGAATGAGCGATCGTCCATTTCTGGATTGGATTATGCTTCTTCCAACGTTCTTCCCCTCGCCATCCTTGTCCTAGCATGCTTCCCGAACGTTCCTCTTCGGCGCTTCGGCGCATCCCGCTACCTTCTTTTTTTTCTACTCGCTCAAGCATCGATGCTAACACCGATATGCATACCTAGATCGTCCTCAACCCATGGCTCATGATCTTCTCGTACTGAGCTGAGGACCATGCACAATCACGTTCTCGCACTCGGGCAGGGTTCCCCGGATGCATGACCTCCTTGCTAATTAATCGCATATCATGCTACTTAGAAACGAAGAACAATCAACATACTCGTCAATCACCGTCGAATCACCATTCTTTTTCATTCGATGCGTCCCGGTCCGTCTTTATTCCCACGCCTGGGCGCAATCCGGATGTCTGCCTATGCCTGTATGTATGCAACTTATTGTGAATCGGACAGGACATTCGGTTACGGTTATTGTTACATTCCGCAATTGCGAAGATGCATGTTGTCTTGTAAGTTTGGACTTGTTTACCTTACATACCCGTGTTTGAACTTTTGGACAATGTCTTGTGTCATGTCTTTGCTGTCGTCGTCATCATTCCATTGCTCTTGTTGTCATCCCGATTTATTGCTGTGCACGAGTGACGTGAACGCAGGGCTTTCTTTGCAGAACTTTCCAGTAGTTGTCAACTTGTTAATAACGCTTCCTTGGGTATTGATATTATAGATAGGCTATGACATTACCGGGCCCTCTTGCAATCGATCATCGACAAGATTCTTGGGTCCAGAACACGCATTGCACAAATAGTCTTGGAATCTCTTATCAGTTTGATGATGTACAGCGGTCACCGGCTGATAGTCTACGAAATCGATGATCACTGATGGGATATTGATCTATCAATATGTAAAAGTGGATATCTTGTTCTTGGCTACAGGGGTGCATCAGTTCATCACGGAATGTACCCATAGATATCAAATGCTCACGTCGCGCCCAAGTTGACACTCATTTGGCCATGACTCACCGTCGACTACTAATGACCGTGTGGCCAGGGAATTTTCATTATCCTACAAGCGGCGTTGGTCGGAAAGGCACGATAGCGGTCGCAGTGCGGAAGCGTTGCGACCTCTAGACTCTGATGGCCCGTCGGGAAGTGGTGCCCATGTATACCAGTCCCATGACTGGACTTGGCATAACGTTGCGATCCTGTAGATAAGATCATCGAGCACCCGAGAAAGGAAGAAACAGGGCCATCCGTGGAACGGGCGTGGACTTCAACTTGGGTGGAGTAAGTTCTATCGCGGACTCTTCAACTTTTTTTTATCTCGCTGGCTTTGCAAATACGATGCAGAAGATTTGATGTCATGGGTGCCTATATCATATGAACACTGCCCAAAGCCACTGCACAGCACGATAAGCTCTGACACAGTAAGATGTTTTTAGATGTGAGATCATAGGAGTGCCTCACAGAAGCGGACAATATAGAATACTTGTTAGGGGTCTGCCGCCCGAGGAACCCGTACCGAACTGCCTGCACAACTGAAGCTTTGTAGAGGTGCGTACATGATGGTCTGCTATCCGGTCTATATCCGAGAAGTGCGTGATATCATGCTCAGGAGTTGTTCACCCGACGGTGCCGATGACACTGCAGGGACACTGAAGAATTTTAAATAAAAGGATTTAGACACATCCATGACAAAATAGTGTGCGTCTGTAGTGCGTACGTACCACGTAGTCCTCTGCTATATAACGGCGATTGCGATAGTATGAGAGTTGAATTCCCCCTACTAGCGCTAATCGATAAAACCCCATCACCATCGTGTGCTATCGTTGCAAAGCACTGGAATCACCTTCTAGGGTGATTTCGAAGCGAAGATATGATAAAGTGGCGGCCCGAGCGTGTTTGCCGGTGATAACTGTGCATGATGGAGGTCTGCACAACAAACAAGGAAAGAAGATACTTGGAAAGTACAAGCCTATCTCGTGCTCCAAGATTCTCCGGAAAACTGATACAGAAGGTGCAGTTATCTTTTACGAACGCCCATCTAGTCTTCCTAGCGATGACCCGACATGAGTAGATGAGTGGGCGACTCGGACTGCCACATCAGTCCAAGAAGTCAAGAGACTCACAGTACCCGATCTGTGCCCCGGCGACCTTTTGTCCCAGCATCACCTGGAAGTTCTATCCGTACTCGGCGACATTACGAATGTCCTCAATGGCATCATGATGTTGCCAGTGTGCGCAGACTCTATGATCATACTAATAGGCTAGCGCCCACAACATCACGTGGCAAGATTCACACCACCATACCACTGCAGACGGCGCTAGCAGATGTTTGTTTTTGTTTTTGGTTCACGAGCAAATACTTGCTGGTGGTCAAAAACGAAGGATATAGCGTCTCAACCTTTGCAGATATTACTATCCATTCCATGGGCTCGGACGGTCGATTTTCATTTATTCACAGGCGTGCTAGGTTGTTGGATCCAGACGAGTGCCCTATTGTACAGACACTTCAGTGGTCAGCGCTCAGCAAGGATAAAGCTATGTTCAAGTCTCATCTAAACGTAATGGCTCTGGGCCATGGCTGTGTTAAATTTTTGTGTAAGGGTCTAGACTTCACATGCCCCAACGTTATTGAGTCACTTGCCGTGAGATGCGGGCCTGCTAAGCTCACAAGTTTACATCATCGGAACTCAGTGATCATAGCTTTTTCTGCCAATCTCAGGCTCGGAGCAAACACAATGCTACTATGTGTGGGTCACCAAGTCAGGCACTGTCGCACTGCTCAAGCGCTCAAGACTTTGTCGGCTCCTCGATGGTGAGCCTTTTGAACGCATGTTGAAGCTGTCTACGACACTCATTGGCATGACTGTTTCAGCGAGGCCTAGGTTCAATCTGTTATACTCAATCGTGTTCCGACACAGCGCGCTATGAAGTACCGATCCCGCCGCGCTTGAATTTTGCGACCACATAATAAACCAAGCCAGGTCCGATCTGTGGTACGCCGCATGTATGATGTATTGAAGTTTCAACCCTGGTGCCTTGCCAAGGATGTTATACAGTTCACTGCCTTTGCTAAAAACTCGTCTCACTTAAAAAATCAATGCCTAATTTTTTGATATATAAAGCAGAACGAACACGCTAGATGTAATTTCCACCATCACCATGTTGCGTCTGTTGTGCATCGCCCTGTCTCTTTTCTTATCCCTTCAGCTCGCTGTTGCAGACCCTGCCTCAGCAGTCTTACGAGTTCCACGTCACTCCAAGTCATCGTCACTAGTACTGACCAAGTCCGTACTATCAGCTCTCTTGGTTCGCCAAGGAAATTTCACTGCTCGACAAGGATGCCCTAGCGGATATCGTAAAGAATTCACGATTCAAGTACTGAGAAACACAATGCTGACCCCGCCCTAGAGCAATGTACCAACTACCCTACAGCATGTGCCCCTATTGGTAGCTTCTGTGTAAGGTTGCATGATGAGCCTTTCTACTGTGATTAACGTTATGAGCCTAGTGCAACGATCTGTATAACTGTCCAGACGACACCACCGTACGTACCTTTGCGTCCCATCGTCAAAACCGAGTACTGACCGACGAATGTTACAACCAGTGCTTCGAATCCGAGTGAGAAAATACTTCAATCAATTTTCTTTTCTTTTCTAAAATCTGCTGTAGATGTTGTCCCAATACCGCGCAAACATGTCATGGAAATTCCTGCTGCAACCCTGGTAGCGAATGCTGCAACGACGACAGTTGTTGTGAATCCGGCTACTCCTGCTGCAATGACTCTACCGGGGGATGTGTGTTATACTTTCTATCGATTGCATGAGCAACGCTAACATCTATTTAGGCTGCCCTACTGGAACTACGTGCATAGCAGGTTCTGATCAATGTTCCACTGGAGGCCCGACTGGTGGAGGTGGAACTAGTGTACTCCCTAGCGTTGCGGTTACTACTTCGTCCAAGTCAACCGTGCAACCAAAAACCACTTCTAGCAGCAGTCATACAAGTACAATCAACGAGCCCACAACAACTAAGTCTTCGAGTACTTCTTCGACAGCTTCATCCACAGGGTCTACTTCCACTGGTTTGCGTAAGCAGCCTATTGCTTCTTATCTGTGACCCAACTTACACCATACAATTTAGCACAAATTGGTGCTGCTCCTCGTGGTATTGCACTCGCACCTGGGAAACAACTTGTGGCGTTGGCTGCAGTTGTTGGTTTGCCGATCCTCCATCATGTCGTCCAGGCATTGTGAACGCGCAATAACACTTTTCTTCTTATAATCAGCATTTGTCTAGGTTGTGATTTATGATATGTCAGATAACGTCTACTTTGTTGCATAATAGGACTTGTAATACGACGTTTTGCCTGCAGATTGATCTAGTTGGTTCGCGATTGCGGGAGATCAGGTCGATCAAGCGCCTCCCTCCGTAATCACGAGAAATGACTCATTGAGCAGCGAAGCATATAGTGAGATGCAGGATAATTACAATGTCATCAAAGAGTCTTGTCAAACGGCCCTCGAGGTATAATATAATTAGCTGGCTCAAGCGCGCGGCTTTCTCGCGAAGAGTCCAGTCGGAAGCAGGATCGTTATTGAAGTACAAGTAGCTATGCACACGTCAGTGATGGGAGACTAATCACAGCAGATAGACTTACTGTGCCATGTCAAAACAAGCTTTGTACCAAACATCTGGAGTAGCCTGCGACGATGATTTGTCCATCAACGGTAATCCAACCTAAACAAAAAACATGTTAAACTCCGAGAGGCCTGCCCAGCATCGCCTATCCGTACTAGTCGACATTACCGAATGTCCTCAAGATGTTGTTCGACTTGGCTACAGACTCTAGCGCCCAGCCTGTCACGGTGACATTAACGTTAAACATCACCTGGCAAAATTCATGCGAGTGGACACCATAGACTCCGAAAAGAAGGATCTCCTCGCATGCCACTGACAGCAGACGTTTTGGCTCATGAGCAATAGCAAGTATTGCTGGTGATCAAAACCGAAGGATAGTGTCTCAACTTTGCAGACATCACTATCAACTTCATTGGACTCGGACGGTCGACCTCCATTTATCCACAGGCGCGTTAGGTTGTTTGATCTGGACGAGTGCCCTGTTGTAGAACGCTATAAAACCTTGGTGGTCAGCGCTAGAGCTGAGCGCTCAGCAAGAGTAAAGCTATGTCCAAGTCTCATCTAGTAAACGTAATGGCTCCCATGGCTGTGTTAAATCTTTTTATAAGGGTTTACATGCCCCTGCGTGAGATGCAGTAAACAATTTTTTATTAGCTGACTAGTATAATATATAACACTACTTGAGGCAGTAAGCTTCCCTCGTCAGCTCTTTAAGACAAGATACGAACCTAAGTCACACAACAGATGCATGTTTTGGGGCTTAATGCCCCCTACTACTGTGTAAAAAATCAAAGTAATAACTTTCAGTTCAATAACGAAGAGACCTATCAACACTCGCATTTATATTACCATAGCGCGACGACTCGAAAGCACGCCAAGACTCACACTCTCACCAAGATACCCATGTAGACGACTTGTAAAACAGCCTCCAGGAACAAGAATGTGATGCGGCGTTTTCTAGATGCGGGATTGACAGTGCCCACATTAGCGGGTGAGTCGGGAAGGACCACTGAGCGAAGGGAGCGGAGCTACATGGGTGTGAGTGAGTATTGAGTAATGTTTAATATAAAGACAAGGCATACAACAAATAACGCGTTTGCTGCGAACGCGTAGAGGAATACGAGTGTGTATATCGTTGTGCCTAGATTGAGGAGACCCGCGAAGAGCGTGAGGATGACGCTAGCTCGAGTTAGCAACGAAGTAAAAGGGTGCAAGGAGCGGACACACCCGACAAACTTATACCCGCCATAAGCGATCAAATCTACCACCTGACCCGTGCCTTGAACATTAAGGAGGTAGCAGCCGCACTGGACAAAGAGAAAGTCGAGTAGGACGACGAGGAGAGCGCGCGTTGCGCTTGTGCCGAGGATCTGGGGGTGGAATCGTTCTTGAAGGCCTGTTTGAAGCGCTGCTATAAGAATGTAGGTGACGAGTGCCATGACTGCGAAACGAATAAGAACGGATGAATTGAGAAGAAAAAAGACGCACGGGGTATGTACAAATCAGGACTATTAATATCGTCGCGAGGAGGCTGCCATTCTGTGTGACCAGCTTCTGTGCGACGGACTTTTCGTGTCCAGGGTTTATGTCGCCAAGGAAATACGACGAGCTGAAGTTTATGCATGACGTAAGAGTTTGAGACGTTGAAGTGGTGTTTGAGCATGGTGACTGGTATCATGCCGGCGAACTGTTCATGGTGAGCGAGTATAGCAAACATAAATGAAGGCCACGTACATTCTTTTGGACATAGTCTTGGCCCGCAGCAACAGCTGTTTGGCCTAAGTGCATTCCAAACTGAGCGGTACTGTCGTTCATACCCCATGCCGCAAAGTCGGGAATGTGTTGGTGTTGAGGATTCGGGATTGGTTGAAATGGAGGAGGATTGTATTGAGTTCGTGCGGCATATTGTTGGGTTGGTGGCGGCGAACTAGCAAAGCGTTGGTAGCCTTGAGGTGATGCTGGCGTTGAAGGCGGTTCTGGTATAAAAGCTGGATGAGTCGGAACCGGGTGTTGAAGAGGTGGAGGTGAACGTGAATAGTAGGACATCGCGGGAGTAGGTGAGTGAGGCGACTGCTGCGAGTACTTGTCACTTGAACGCGTGATACAAACAAAAGTATGGAAAGCCTAACAGCCGCGCTCTGTTACCGCCTGTGACATGGCCCATAAATGGCAGTCACAACTGGTGGACTCCGTACACCTCTAATGTTGCTGTTATCATTTTTCTCAAGAGACTTGTCAGTACGCAGATGTTGTTGCGAGCACCAGTGAGCTACAGGTCATTAACAGAGTGTGGCTGTTAGGCTACCAATCACACCTCAGGCAGCACTTCTCGGTGCCTATAGAGCCTCCAGGGCCCCTCCCATGTGGGCCTTAGGATTTTGCCGCATCGTACCACATCCCTACACAACAAGTGTCTTATATGCGTATATAATATGTCTATGTCATCCACAAAGGTCTTAAATATGATTTATTATTAAGAAATACCATAGTACATGTGTTTGTATAAGAATTATCGTGGTATCATAGTGAATATAGTACTTTATGGGTGCGGTGTGGGTTATCGGTCGACCGGTCAGGCACTGCTCAAGCGCTCAAGGCTATAGCATGCAATGTATTTCAGCTCTTCTTTGGTGAGCATTTTGAACGACTGTTGAAGCTGTACTACCACACTCTTTAACATGACTGCTTGAGTGAGGCCTAGGTTCAATGCGTTATACTTTATCGTGTTCTAACACAACACGCTATAGAATACAGCTCCAGCCCTCTCCAGCCGCACCTAAGTTTTGCGACCACATAATAAAATTAGTCAGGTCCGATCTGTGGTACGGCGTCCGCGTGTTGTATCAATGTTTTCAACCCTGGTGCCTTGCCATGAATGTCATACAGGCTCACTGCCTTCGCTAAAGACTCATCTGACGTGAAAGCTAACACCTGATTTTCTGATATAAAGAGCACGAACGACAGACGAACACATCAAGCCGCTGTAACTCCCACCACCACCATGCTGCATCTGCTGTGTATCGCTCTGTCTCTTTTCTTATCCCTTCAGCTCGCTGTTGCAGACCCTGCCTCAACAGTCTTACGAGTTCCACGTCACTCCAAGTCATCGTCACTAGTACTGACCAAGTCTGTACTATCAGCTCTCTTGGTTCCCCGAGGGAGGTTCACTGCTCGACAAGGATGCCCCAGCGGATATCGTAAGGAATTCACGTGCCAAGTACGAATAAACACGTTGCTGACCCGCCCTAGAGCAATGTACTAACTACCCGGACGCATGTGCCCCTACTGGCAGCTTCTGTGTAAGGTTGCATGATGAGCCTTTCCACTGTGATTAACGATTTGAGTCTAGTGCAGCGATACGTATAACTGTCCAGACGGCACCACTGTACGTACCTTCCCGTCTGTTTAGATCCCATCGTCAAAACTGAGTACTGACCAACGAACGTTACAACCAGTGCTTCGATTCCGAGTGAGAATATTCTAATAACTTTTCTTTTCTTTTCTTTTCTAAAGTCTCGCAGATGTTGTCCCAGTACCGCGCAAACATGTAATGGAAATGCCTGCTGCAACCCTGGTAGTGAATGCTGCAACGACGACAGCAGCTGCTGTGAATCCGGCTACTCCTGCTGCAATGACTCTACCGGGGGATGTGTGTTATATTCTCTATCGATCGCACGAACAACGCTAACATCTATTTAGGCTGCCCTACTGGAACTACGTGCATAGCAGGTTCTGATCAATGTTCCGCTGGAGGCTCAAGTTCTGTGGGTGGAAGCAGTGTACCCACTAGCATTACGGTTGCTACTCCGTCCAAGTCCACTGTGCTGCCAGGAACCACTTCTAGCAGCAGTCCTGTAATTACATTCGACGGGCCCACAACAACTTCCAGCACTTCTTCCTCCACTTCTTCGACAGCTTCATCCGCGGGGTCTACTTCCACTGGTTCGTGTAAGCAGCCTCTTGCTTCTGATCCGTGACCTAACTTATACCATAAATTTAGCACAAATTGGTGCTGCTCCTCGTGGTATTGCACTCGCACCTGGAAAACAACTTGTGGTCTTGGCCGCAGTTGTTGGTTTGCCGATCCTCCATAATGTCGTCCAGGCATTGTGAACACTTTTCTTCTTATAATCAGCATTTGTTGAGGTTGTGATTCATGTTATGTTCACTTTTTTACATACTAGGACTTGTAATACGACATTTTGCCTGCAAATTGATCTAGTTGGGTCGCGATTGCGGGAGATCAGATCGATCAAGTAGTGACTGAATGACTAGGAGGCCAGTCGTAGCTAAGGGCCGCCTCAGAAATCACGATAAATCACTCATTTGCATCAGATACGTTTGGATGATACATTACAAACCGATTTCTTTAAAACATTGCGAGTGGTGGTGATACATTTAGTGTGGGTGTTTGACTCTTGTAATACAGTGACGAAAATTGGGTGTCTGTAGTTTCCGTATTAAACATCATACTATGATTGCTTTGAGTAGCGACTTTATCATATGGTAGCGTTCACTCACCCCAACAACCATCGAGGTAGGCATGGAGATGGAGATGTCGGTGAACCACGGTGTTTGCTCTGCTTCAATGGATTGAAAAGAGCCTACAGCAGTGCAATCATGTAACTTACCTGCGTCAACGCGCGTTGCGTTACCGATGATACGAGGACGACGAATAGAATCCGCATGGAAGATATTGCAGATGATTCCAGGAGCAATCTGGAAAAATTTCAATTCTCGCGTCGAACTCTAAGCATCTTCATTTACCTTTGAGAAGACATCCCAGGACAAAAGGCTGAATTGCCATAAGTATGTGAGCTAGATACAGTGATAATCGGTAGACGCACCCAGTTTGCTTCGGAATGACAGCAACTTGGCCATCAAGAGTGATATGCAGGACAGACTTTGAGGACGTTCAGACTCATGGAGAACCATGTTGATGCTTTGGGATGACTCACTTTGCCACTCGACATCATCTTCATCTAGAGTTAGTGCATTTTCCAAGTGAAAAAGTTGGAGACGAACGTCAATGTCCAGATCTGAACATTTGGTTATCATACACTATCCCTGTCGCAGAAAATGCAGAGAGCTTACCGAGTGCTTTGCAGATATACCGCAGGACGGCTGGGCTCTGTTCTGACCATTCTCGACAACTGGAACAAAATTTGGAGTAGTCTTCATTTTGAGCGTACATGTAGTATTTCACCACAGAAGCGATGACTGCGGAGAACAAGGCCGCAGAAGGGATGATTTCCTCGAACAAACACAATGCTATCTCCTCTATCGAAGCCTGTGGTGTGACTTTGAGAACCTCCGAAAGGAACGCTTCGCCTTTATGCGATGACACCTGGTTTGAAAACAGAAGATCGCATATACCATTGATTGAAATCTGATTCACCAATTGAGCAGCGAAGCATATAGCAAAATGTAGGATAATTACAATACCATCAGAGAGTCTTTTCAAATGGCCCTCAAGGTATAACATAATTAGCTGGGTAGAGCGCGTGGCTTTCTCGCGAAGGGTCCAGTCGGAAGCAGGATCGTTATTGAAGTACAAGTAGCTATGCACACGTCAGTGATGGGAGGGTAATCACAGCAAATAGACTTACTGTGCAATGTTAAAAAAAGCTTTGTACCAAAATTCTGGAGTTTCTGGAGTCGCCTGCGACGATGATTTGTCCATCAATGGTAATCCAACCTGAACAAAAAAAAGATTAAACTCCAAGAAGCCTGTTGATGTATCAGAGAGCGGACCATGATATCGCCCACCCAATAAACGGGAAGGAGGTTCAGGATTTCAAGTATGTCGACGTGCTTATCAACTTCGCGTCTCTTGAGTATCAGCTCACTTGTAAGGTGTGCGAAGTGTGAAGTAGACACGGTGTGTTCAGCAACTTTATCAGAGATAGACTTTCTGATCTGAAAAAATGTGACGATGAGACCCAATAGATAACGAGCTTAAAAGGGTCTTACTGCTTCGTTCCGTACCCTCGGAGGCGTGTGTAACTTTGAAAGTCGACACTCATAGACTCTAACAATGCTCGTATCAGTGGCTGCAAACGCAGTTTGTTGAACAGTCAAAGGCCTGTCCCAATCGTAAAGATGCCGGATTTCGGCACCACGTGGCACCTTTGTCATGCTCGAAACAAGGAACTCTGGAGTCAGGAAAGGAAAGTGAGCGTAGACTGAGCCCACGGGGTAGTGATCAGGGAGCATGCGAAAGAGAAGCTTGGTGAGCATGCCACCATATGATCCATCCACCTTGTTGACCATGCAATGCTCGTAACCCCATGTTGTCAAGTTGAACGCTACCATGAGAAGCTCAGCATCGACGAAAAAGGATTTGGCTCAAGAATCAGTTGACTCACGAGTGAAGTCTACTGTAAGAAACCTGTCTCCACGAGTCAAGCATACGGCATCGGCGAGGATAGCACGTGAGATAGTGTATCCAGGGCAAAGGCCAGCGCCAGAAATTGGAGGTTTTGTTTCCTCAGCCTGCAGGCCTACCTGGTGTGAATCAGCAAATGCAAATCGTCCAAGGCTGTTATCGAGGCTTACATGTAATTCCAGGTTTTCAATATCGCCGTACAAGCGTTCGGCTGCGATCTATTGATGGTCAACATGGGGGTAATCATACAACAGGATTGATCCCTACATAAATCTCTGGATCTGGATTCCATTCACTGAAGCTCTTGTATGCTGAAAGCAAATTATAATTCGATAAACTGACGGAGTGAAAACAACCTCACGTTTCAGGCCAATGAAGCGACGAAATTCGTTCAGCTAGGTTTCAATACTTAGTGTCACTATGAGTTTTTGCAACCCATATTGGGACTTACTGAACAAGCACCCCAGGCTCGTGCCTGCTCCATGCCCAAAATCTCCACAATTCGCATGGTGGCCGGAACGCCCCTTGCACGAAAAGCACAAGCCCTGTCGGCCGTTGCATCCTGTAAAACACGGGCGATATTGGCATCGCTGAATCGACCATCCTTTTCACGGACGAGACTGTGACTCGTTAGCTGGAAATACATGATAAAGCGAACACTTCATACCCGCCAAATGTCCAACTACGAATGTTAGGTACTTGAGCACCATCCCTGTGGACAGCGGCCTTGAACTCTTCGACAGTGATCTAAGGAAACAAATACAACTTTTACACACAGCATATAAGGAGGGATACACGTACAGTCGAAGGGTCTCCGTCAGGGAGAATGTTTTTGAAAGTGAGTTCAATCCATGCTTCATCTTGACGCGATATCGCCGCATGCCAACGATAGAGCATGTTGAATTCCAGAGAAACGGCGTTCCCAGCTCCTCGTTGGGAAACGTCATGCGTCTGCTCACGAAACCCCTGAATGAAAGTCAAAATAGATAGTGAGTCTTACGAAGAATTCCGGACCTGAAGTGGATTCAATCGCCAAGTCAGTCCATCTCTGACAAGACCAAGAATGCCCCCAACGTAGTCCGTTAAGATGATCTGCATGAAAAAGGCTGCGTTGACCAGTCGAGCACGGTGAAAGATCTCATTACACTGAGCAGTACGTTGCACTTCTCGAAGATCCGCTGGGCATGCAAATGTCCCTCGCTCGTTGAGGCTAAGGATCTTGCTTGCGATGTACTGTTCGGTGAGTTAGCATCTCTCTTTTACGCAGTAGAACAAAGACAGACATTGTGGTGACGACTGAATAAGACTGCAAGGGCACCCACAGAGGGGGGCATGAACAAGAGACGCTTGTCAGCAAATACATCCTCCCAAATGTGACCGGTTCCGTCCTTCTTGCGTATACTATCGACCTGCTCTTCGTTGTGTCCATATAGGATACTCAGGTCGAGGTAGCTGCTGGCATTGTTGATCGTCCAATCGTGAGAGTTCGTATCGAATATACTGTGAATAACGAGATCTGCAAATGCGAAGAACAGACTGGAGAGACCCCCAGGATGAGGGACGAAGTCATTCCGACCACGACGCAGAAGGGTATCAAATACCTCTCCTGGATCTGGTAATGGATGACGCGACGAAACATGCGTAGAAGGCACAGATCGTGCATATGGTTGGCCTGCTTGACCAAGGTTCGGCACGGACATCGAATAATTGGAGCCATCAGCACTGCGGAAGATATATGGCATTCCACTGGAGCTGGACAGAGGCGTCGTTACAGGAGTCTTCAAGAAGCTGTAAGGTGGGTGAGGAAGGTCCTTATAAACTAAACGCGCTTGATCAGAACTGTATATATAACCTGTCGATACAGATACACATACGGATATTAATCACGGAAATCTGAAGTTCTTTAGCGAAGACTGAGTCGTCTGGAAGGCGCGACATCAACATCAGAAGTTTTTCTAGCTAAGTTCCACAAAAAATAGCGTGAGTTTGCATCCAATAAAAGACGACGCATACACCTACCAAAAACTCCCGGTCATCGATCCCTGACTTGAGGTTCTTCAGTGCATCAATATATGCTGGCTGATAGCAAATAGCTCGCATTCAGCTCAAGTTTCACAACGGGCGACGGCCTACTCACTAGGTCAGCCAGGGTAAAGGCGGGTCCTCGTGTAATCATTTGTTCAAAGTCTTCTACTGATTTGGTTCCTCCAAGGAACGCGAGAATGTCAACCTGGTCGGATATGCATGGAATAATATTGATCTTTGGTATAAGTGACGCTGCTGCTCGTTTCATCATGATGGTATGGATGTCGAAACTGAAAATTGGTTTAGTTGACTCAGAGGAAGGACGTGGTTAAGGAATATATCGATAAAGGCCCAGTACGACTGGCTATATATGCATCGGGTCTGAAAGGCATTCAGTGACAGATGTAAAAGGCCGCCAAAAGGAATTCCAGTGTCAAGCAATACAATAAACATTACCCTTACAGCTGGGAGATTCAAACGTTTATAGAGCGCGAGGGGCCAATATGCGTTTGAAGGCCAAATCCGAAATTTGGGCTGCTGGCGGCCATGCTTGTATATCTAGTAAGTACTGACTCGGAGACACGCGATGGACGCAAGTGACGGCCGCGTCAATTGACCAGACGCTGCAGGACCACCAGTTCGGATCCTTCAAACTGTGTGGGTCGGGAATATATAAATATCAATGGCCGCGCTTGCATGTAGTTCTAGTTAAGGATTTGGTCGTTACAGCGTCAACGCGTCGGTGGCATGGTTGAGTACTGAGTCCACGTACATTGCGTAATATCATCATGTGATTACAAAGAACTTGAAGTCGACAACACAGGCTCCATGAAATTGTTGACGGATCAGTGCATTGAATCACGGCTAGAACCTCGGGCAGTTGACATAGACCAAAAGCATGTCATCGGCAGCTGGTACCAGCTGACGCTCTCCTCATTTCACAATTGCTGTATGTACTATGTAGTGCTAGTGGATCTCGTGTCTGCTAAGGCCTAAACCTCCACGGCACTTAAACCCCTGCCAGAAGCTCTTTCCAACACTCTGCCATGGTCACCAACAGACTCTGGCGTACTCTTTCTGCCTTCAACCGATCTACCCGAAGCTGGGAACCCATACCTTTGCGAAACGTACAGAGCCCTTGAAGTGACGCAGAGGTTTTCTCCCACATTACGAAGCATCGACACCTTCTGGACGCACGGGCTTTCTCTCATATCATGGAACATCGACGCCTTCTCCCCGCGGCCCGTCTCACGCGCCAAACTCATCCTTAGCCATATCCTCGAGGAATCGAAATCTCCTGATATCCTCTTTCTCCAAGAAGTCACGCCTGAGGTCCGTGCCTCTCTCCTAGACGATGCGAGAGTGCGCGCTGTCTTCCTGGTGACTGACGCCGAGGACGAAATGTCGTTTGAGGACGTGCCCTTTGCGACCATGACGTTGCTGTCCAGCACGCGCTTTACCTCCGGGCTGGATTCGCAGAAGGAAGGCGATGGGATCGAGGGAGGGGAAAAATTCATGCTCGGACGCGTCTCTCGCGTGATACTCCCGAGCAAGTGCAGGAGGGATGCGCTTTATGTGGACATCATCCCCCCAATATCGCCGGGTACAGTCTTCCGTCTCATCAGCGTGCACCTCGACTCGCCCAGGATACGCTGCACTACCGCGCCCATCAGATGGAGATACTGGCCAACGTCCTACGCGAGCCCGGATGCAGTGGCGGGATCATTGCAGGCGACTTCAACGCCATCAGCCCCGAGGATGATGGGCTCGTTGACAAGAACGAACTGGTAGATGCGTGGGTCGCATTGCACGGGAGGGCAGACCTTGATGGCGCTACGTGAGGTGTCGGCGTAGAACGGCGGGATGGAATAGGGCCGGGCAGGTTGGACAAGGTTGCAATGATGGGCTTAAAGGCTAAGGAAATGGAAGTCCTCCGCCCTGGTACTATTGAGGTGCCCAGGCCGGGCGAGAAACCTGTCGAGATCCTTTGGAGTGACCATTGCGGGCTGAGATGCACCTTTACCATCTGAATACTATGAAGCAGGTTTAGGCTAGCACCCTCGACGAGGAGTAATCACCAAGTTTGTCATAGACGTAGAGCGAAGACGCCGGAGCAACTGCGTTTTTCTTTTTAAACGTCGAATGCTATATATCCCATTCTATAATTCATCCCTTTTGATTGTGTGCGTTTAAAGTCCTAGTAAGTCGTTAAGACCGCATCCATTCGAATTCCTTCGTCCTTTGCCCCGTTACTCTTTCTGTCGGGACATCACCGATACCGAGAATAAGAGACCAAAGAGTCTTAGGGTGCGGGTCAGTTAGTATTATGTAACTGGGTCATGAACGCATGGGATAATCTACGCGACAAGTCAAGTCTACCGCAAGTGGTACATTGTTAAGTAGTAAGTGTTAATTAGGGATAACTCCAGATAGCTGAAGCTACGGTCACGACGTCTCTCATATCTTGTACATCATGGACTCTCACAACGCTTGCGCCCTGTTGAATAGCACAAGCCACGGTTGCTGCCGTTGCCCACTCTCGTTCTTTCGGCTCAGTCTTTCTCCCTTTGTATGTCCCATCCGCATCCGGGCGTTCTAAAATTGCACCAAGAAATGACTTCCGGGACGATCCAACGAGTCGCGGGTATCCTGCGAGTGGGTTCACGGGAGTGTTCGCTGTCATCGAAGAAGCTTCGCGAAGTAGTGCGCAGTTTGCTTCAACAGTTTTGCTGAAACCGATACCAGGGTCGACGATAACGAACCACCTCCGCACACCGCCTTTGCCTTTAATAATTGCTTCCACTTTCTCTCCCAGCTCAACCCGCACACCTTCTAGAACTCCGCCCTTGTACTGGCTGTAGTCTTTGTTTGAGCCTGCATCACCGCGTGAATGCATTAAGATGACAGGAACAGCGAGTTTTCGTGCTACCTCTCGCATTTTTAAGAGGTGCTTTTCTGAGGATTGCGCAAGGGGGTACTCAGGGCCCGTGAAGGAATACACATCGTTGATGCAGTTTGCCCCAGCCAGGACAGCGGCTTCCGCGACCTCCCAACGGAATGTATCGATTGAGATAAGAGCGGAGCTGACGTCCTGATCTTCATGTGATCGTATGGCCTGAATGACGGGCACTACACGTTGACACTCCTCTTGGGGTGAGACAAATGCTGCTCCCGGACGAGTTGAATAACCCCCTATATCAATGATATCGGCACCTGCTCGTACGGATGCCGCAGAGTAAATCAGAGCAGCTGATAATGTATTATTAACAGAACCATCCGAGAATGAATCTGGAGTGGCATTCAAGGTGGCCATCAGCCTCACTTTCGTCGGTCGTTGGATGTCACTTGAACAATGGGTAGTCCAGTACCTTCCCATAGAGGGCACCTGATGGGTGTCCGGGAGCTGTCGTGTTTCGGTGATCGGATAATCGGCGAAAGGGGTGACTTTAAGCATTGGGAAGTCGACGTTTGACTGCCTAATAACGTCACCCAGAAGTGTGCGTATTGATTTCTTATGAACTGGATGCACGAATTCTGGGATCATGCTAATTTTGCAAATTTAGTTGTCGACAATAACTAAAGCTGTTACACACACTCAGCTAGAGGACGCAAAACAAACTCTCGTTCTGCCATGCGTGGATGCGGTACGACAAGTTCATTGGCCAGACCATCGAGGGTATCTCTCAGGCTTTCAGCACGAGTATCAACGATCTCGTTATCGTACAGTATTATATCCAAGTCAACCGCACGAGGTCCATTCTGGATAGAAGGCACCCTCCCCACTGTCGTTTCAATTCTTTTAAGTAATTTCAATAATATCCACGGCTCCATGTTTGTCTCGACCTATAGAAGGGCCCTCAATTAAGTAACAGACCTGTGGCCATCAGTTCTTGAATGGACGAACTCACTAAGCACGCACAATTCGCAAATCTTGGCTGGTCTGTGACATACATGGGCGCAGTTTCATACATGAAGCTCGTGTCAACGACCGATACGGTGTTAGCAGCCACATCGGTCAGCAGCTGATCAGGTTGCTCAATCAAGCGCAAAGCAGTTTCAATGTTGGCGAATCGATCGCCAAGATTCGAGCCTAGTGCGATTGCCACGCTGTGCTTCGCTGATGAGTGATAAACATTCCGAATTGCGGATGTTAAGGTACCAGTCATAAATAAAAGATTCTGGAGGAAGTGGTGTATGAGAACTCGGACTCTCAGCGGTACTACCTGTGGCGGGAATTGATCATTATTTATGATTATGTAACCCTGACGAAAGAACTTTGAGAACCACGACGTCGAGGTTGTGCTTCAAGTTGTACTATTTTTCTCCGGGCCTGCAAACATGACAATGCCAAAGGATAACCCATACCTTGCCCATCGACATCCCACTGAGCGAGCTATCTCAAGCGCAAGCACTCTCAATGGTGCCAGCCCCTCCTCAAGAGAGCCTCTCTATGGTTTTGTTCCTCGGATGGTTAATGCAGATCAGGTCGGACAGGCATTGGTATGTCCTTTCAATAGTTAGCGTCGATGCCGGCTAGCTGACTCGGTAATTTGCTTAGGAACATGATTTAAACCCGTTCACAAAGCAGCCCCATACTGCACAATACAAAAAGATTCTGGAAGCTCGCAAAAAGCTTCCTGTGTTTGCACAGATGACTGAGTTCTATAAAATAGTAAGCTCCTCTTCTTATCCCACCCCCATTCACCCCGACTTACGTTTGCAGTTCAACAAACACCAAATCATTGTTATGGTCGGTGAGACCGGCTCAGGCAAGACCACGCAGTAAGTTGGTACCCCCAAGACAAATATTCTCCCTTGTCATTTTTGAACAGTCGCTTATAGACTCTTTTTGTCACTGATAGAATACCCCAGTTCGTCGCCTACTCTGATCTTCCGCATACCAAGAACAAAATGGTAGCATGTACTCAGCCCCGCAGGGTCGCTGCCATGTCTGTAGCTAAGCGTGTAGCGGATGAGATGGACGGTCCGTCTCTTTTACTTCGTGTATTGACCGCACTCTGAGCTCTTTCCGTCCTCTAGTCCCACTTGGTCGACAGGTCGGTTATTCAATACGTTTCGAAGATATGACCGAGCCTGGCACCACCTTTCTCAAATACATGACCGATGGAATGCTCCTCCGTGAAGCCATGAACGACCCTGATCTCAACCGTTACTCCACTATTATCCTCGACGAAGCCCACGAACGTACCCTCGCTACCGATATCCTTATGGGTATCCTTAAATCCCTCGCCCAACGCCGTTCAGACCTCAAACTCATCATTATGTCTGCCACTCTAGATGCACTCAAGTTCCAGAAGTACTTCGCTGTCTCTGGCGGTACCCCCGCCCCGCTCTTCAAGGTCCCAGGTCGTACTCACCCTGTCGAGGTGTTCTACACCCAGGAACCGGAGCCGGACTATGTCGAGGCTGCCATCCGCACGGTGCTCATGATCCATCGCGCCGAGGAGCCAGGTGATATCCTATTGTTCCTGACGGGTGAGGAAGAGATAGAGGATGCCTGTCGGAAGATCAAGCTCGAGGCGGACGACCTTATCAACTCCGACCCCGAGTCTGTAGGCCCTCTCATATGCATCCCGCTGTATTCATCGCTACCGCCGCAACAACAACAACGCATCTTCGACCCGCCACCGAAAGCAGGCAGTCCGGACGGTCCCCCAGGACGCAAGGTTGTAATCAGCACAAATATAGCGGAGACATCGCTGACGATCGATGGGATCGTATATGTCGTTGACCCAGGATTTTCCAAGCAAAAGGTGTATAACCCGCGTATTCGTGTGGAGAGCTTACTCGTGAGTCCAATTTCCAAGGCGTCAGCACAGCAGCGTGCAGGCCGGGCCGGCAGAACGAGGCCAGGCAAATGCTTTAGGTTATACACGGAGAAGGACTTTATGTCGGAGCTTGAGGAACAGACTCACCCAGAAATTTTGAGGAGTAATTTGGCGAATACGGTGCTGGAGCTTGTCAAGGCGGGGATTAAGGTGAGTTGTGACGTGGGAGGATGTTTTCAGATGGGCTGATACGTGTGTAGGATCTTGTCAAGTTTGATTATGTGGATGCACCAGCACCGGAGACGCTAATGAGAGCATTGGAACTGTTGAATTACCTCGCTGCGCTGGACGATGATGGGAACCTCACGGCATTGGGGAGTATCATGGCTGAATTCCCTCTGGATCCACAGGTAGGCGATTTTTCTGGTGGTGGGGTTCTTCGCAGTTCTGACGCACGTTCCTAGCTCTCGAAGATGTTGATCGCTAGCCCAGAATTTAAGTGTAGCAACGAGATCTTGACGATCACCGCAATGTTGTCAGGTGCGCACTTAGCCTTGATGTTTACTCTCATCTGACGCTCTTGCAGTACCAAATGTGTGGATGCGGCCGAATAACCAGCGAAAAGAGGCAGATATTGCAAAGGCGCAGCTGACCGTTCCTGACGGTGACCATTTAACGCTTCTCAACGTGTACAACAACTACATCCAAAGCAAGTTATCCTCTTTTATTACACACATATTCACTCACATCTGCCCCCAGATCAATACGACAAAAACTGGACATGGAACAACTACCTCTCCGCTCGGGCGCTTATGCAAGCAGACAACGTACGCGAGCAGTTGAAACGAACGATGGAGCGGTTTGAGGTGGAGCTCATCAGCGTGCAAGATCAGAAGAAGATGTTTATGGCGATTAGGCAGTCATTGTGTTGTGGGTTTTTCATGCAAGTCGCGCATAAAGAGGGAGATAAAGGGAACTATATGACCGTGAAAGATAACCAGGTGCGTTATGATTGTTTTGGGTAGTTTGCGATGCTGATGGTTTTTATTTTGTGGTAGGCCGTAGCACTACATCCATCTTGTGGGCTGGACACGCAGCCAGAGTGGGTGATTTTCAATGAGTTCGTGCTCACAACGAGACCTTATATACGGACTGTTACGGATGTGCGACCAGAATGGTACGTTCTTAAGCATCTTCTCTGTGGATTTGCATTGACGTTCCGACAGGCTCCTCGAGTACGC